GCAAGTCGATTCTAGGGAACTAATGGAGCCAACCAATGCCAAGAGCGGCGTGATGGCTCTGAGAAGAATCCAGATAAAATAACACTAGGGTGTGATCTAGAGCTGGCCACAGCTGGCTTCTAGGTGGCTTTAGAGATGTGTTTGGAGATGGGCTAGTTCTGAGGCAGGATTTGATAGGACATCATTACTAGTGCTTAGAAGCAATTTCGTCAGCCATCAAGGAACTTTCAGCAAAGAGGCAAAATATCAAGAACACTTAGGGAGCTTGGTAAAAAAATACATTTCTGGGTCTGCAAAATCAGAATCCCTAGAGGCTGGGGACCCAAAGCTTGGTTTTTAAAAGCCCTCTCAGATAATCCTGATACTTAGGGGTTTGGAAATTATTATCTGCTCTTTAAAGAGCATGTCTCTGGAACCCCTTTAACCTCTGAGTCTGCTACTTAGCTGTGTTTTTGCTGAAAAGTGACTTAACCTTTCTGAGCTTCATTTGCCTCAATTAGAAAATGGGGATAACTCCACTTACCTCTTAGGGCTGCCACTAGGAATACATATGATAGGCAGGCAGGCAGATAGGCTCAGGGCTTGGTACAAGAGGATGTGCTCCAAGTGTTGGCTGCTACAATTATTATTCCAGCCAGGATGCTTTGGGATTCTGGGATGAAGAGCAGAGGCTGAGGGATTAAAGGTCAGGAGGGGCTCAGAGTTTGTGATGCTTGGAATGAGAGGCTCATTGGGAAGAGAGCAAAGCCTCCTGCTCAGAGGAATCAGGACAGAGAGGCCAGGGCCCAGCACAAGGCAGAGGCTGTTCACCTCTGGCCACTTGCCTGGCTGCTCGGTCAGGGACTTGAGCACGTACAATTTACAAGAAGCACAGCAGAGATTTGTGGTTAAGGCCTTGGGCTTAAGGGCTCAGAGAGTTCTGGGTTCAAGCTCTGACTCCTCTTAGTAAGGCATGACCTTGGGTGAGAGACTCACTGTGGTCACTCAGCCAGGCTCTACAGCTAGACAGCTCAGCTACTGGTAGGACCTGGGACCTTGAGCAAGTGCTGCACTGCTCTGAGCCTCAGTTTGCTCATCTGGAAATGGGGATACTCCACTCCGTAGCTAAACGGAGTCAACGAGATATTGCAGGATTGGCTCCTTGTCTGTCCCAGAGTTGTGTAAATGATCGTTATTGCGGCCATCAACCCTTTCTCTGGTGAAATCTTCAGCTTGTAACTGGTTTGGGTATGGGATTATCACCTTTCCCCTCATTCTCAGTCCCTGACCACCTGCTGCAGAACCTGGAGCTTTCCTCACAATGCCTGCAGGGCATCAGGGTTGGGAGCTCCACCAGTCCCCTTCCCCCACCACAGAGGGGCACTGGATCCCTGGCCTGGGCTTCCTCCCTTCCTTCTCTCTCCAGTCCCCTTCTTCTAGGCAAAGCTGCAGTGCGGTGATATTTGGTGACTCTGCCTCTGTGAGTTTGGACTGCCCAGAAATGACCCTTTTCAGTCCTCAGGGACTGGAGTGAGGACTGTCTTGCCTTAGTGTTTTGAACTCCATAGGTGCTGGATGATAAATATATTTGAGTAGGGTCTACAATGGATAAATCAAACAATGAATCTGTACACACTGCCTTAGAATTGACCTCTGCTGCCTGCCTTCCAGCACGGTCAAGGCATGCCCTGAGAAATGCACATCTCACAACTAGTTGGCTCCTTCCTGCCCCTGGTCGCTTCGGACCCCTGGGAGGGGTGCTACCAGAGAGAACCCCTCTTCTATGTGGGGCACTCTGAGGCTCTAGCCTGCAGCAAGAAAGCCCTCCCAGGGGTTGCTTCCTGAGTCTGTTGGGCGCGTCCTTGAGCAGACACTGCCCCTCTGAGGCCTATGCCCGCCATGACACATGGGAGAGCCTACCTGGCACAAGAGAAAGGACCCAAAGGATTGCTTTCCTTCCAAGCTTCCTCCTTGGGTGCTCAAGATTGGCCCGAAATGCAGAGCCGGGTTACAATTATATTTGGGTGAGGCTCTCGCAGCAAGAATCCAAGTGAACATGGAAAGCAAATCACTTTCCCTAATCACTGTTCAACAGAACGAATCCCTTTGGGTCTTGGGCCCATTAAGTTTTCTGCCTCTGGGCCTTTGCAAATTCCTGTTCCCTGTCTGGGATACCCTCCCACATTCTTGTCTAGATGAGTCCTTTTACTGCACAGACATGGATGTCTTTTCCCATGGGAAGTTTCCCCAGTGTCACAAATTGGTTAGGTGCCGCTCAGACGTGCTCCTGTAACCCCATGGCAGCCTTTTGTTTTTGGTGGCTGGCTGGTATGGGGATCCAAATCCTTGACCTTGGTGTTATCAGTACCATGCTCTAACCGAATGAGCTAACTGGTCAACCCCATGACAGTCCTTTATCATGGCATTTTGTCATGGTTCCTATGGGGAAAATAGGATAATTTAGTCAGGCTCCCTCGACATTCCTTGTAAACAAGTTGTGTGGGTGGAGTTAGTGTGCATGTACACCCATGTATCTTTCTAGTTTATTGCTATTGTGTGTTCTGCAGTTTGTGAAGCAGAAGCTGGCAGGCAGAGCTCGTGTCTAAAAATAGAGCATGTTTACTCTTGGGCAGCTGCTCTGTTTTTCTTTGGACTTTGCCAGTAGCAGTTGAGTTTCTGAGTTTCTCTTTGTACTGTTTAGCTGTTAGATGTATGTGTGCTGAATAAAGACTCCTCTTTCTTCAACCAAGGCTCCAAGGACCTTTTTGCCAGTTACCTATCTCATAGACCTGCGTGTGAAGGGTTTGTGAAGGGGCTCGAGGGGTCTGTGAGCTCCAGACCCTAGCCCTAGTTCTACAGCTCCTTAGGTCCCTGATTTCCTGCTGCCAGGCAGGTGTTGCAGAGCCCCAGAGACCATGGCTCCCCAGCACCTCACACTGAGAGACTTTTTGTGTGGGCGGAGGCAAGACAAGCCAGCTCTCCACATGGAGAAAATGAGGTGATGTGGTGGACCTCAAGGAAGGGATCACGTCTTCTGGGGCTCCCACCCACTCCAAGCCTGGCCTCATACCTCTCTTCCTCCATCGCCATAAACGATGAGGGCCAGGAAGTTGAGAGGGGAGCGAGTAAAGCACTCACTGCCTCAGGTGGGGTGACTGCTGTGTAGGGTCTAAGAAGCTCATCCCAGTCCTGGTTCCAGCTCCTGTTAGGCTGCTCTCATCCAAGACCTAAGGGAACAGGACCATTATTTAGACAAATACTGAACACATGTGAGATGCAGGTGGGAAAGGTGTTACTGGACATGAATCTGACAGTGTCTTGTTCTCAAAGGGCATCCAGCATGGTAAGAGAGTCTGGTATAAGGCCTCATGGGGTGGTCTCTAGGTTAGGAGCCTGGGACAGACCAAGCTCTGGTCCTGGCTCAGCCACTGGTTCACTGCGTGACTTTGACAGGTTGCTTTCCCTTTTGGAACCCGTTTCCTCATCTGCAAAACAGGGACAACAATGGAATGTCTCATCAAGTAGTTGTGAAAACCTGTTGACATTATGATGTGAAAGTATAAGGTGCAAAGTACTTCAAAAAGGTCACGGAAGAATTTATATTATGTTTTAATTCCATTTTTCCATGACCTTTTTGAAGTACCCTTGCATAAGAAATGGCAAGGAAAGCCCAGAAATGAGAATGCCTCCTGCCTGGGGCCAGCGTCGCAGGGGTTTCATGGTGAATCTAGAAGGGTGGACAGATGCAGACAAGCATCTGAAGTTTGGAACGGGATCAGAGCACGGGCATGGGTCGCTGGGGGGACGGATTGCTGTCTAGCACAACCCTAGGTGCCAGGTCCTGTGCAGTTGCTCATAAATACTCAAAGAACCGTTTGGAGGTGGGTCATCATGGCCAAGACAGCTAGTCCCCATCAAACATCCATGTGCTCATCCCCATTTCCCAGCCTCCCTCATGGCCAGTTTGGGCCATGCGACAAATTCTGGACAATGGGCTGTGAGGGGAAGGGATGTCTACCAATTCTGGAGTGAGTCAGTTCAGAGTGGATGTGTCCTCATCCCTCTCTTCCCCTGCCATGGTCTCTGGTGCCACATGTTCCAGTGATGTAGCTACAAAATGGAAGAGGGCAACCTGACTCCGTGACTTTGTGAGACAAATAGACCCTTATAGTGTTCAGCCACGGAGACGGGGGATTGTTTGTAGAGGCAGCTAATGCTGATTGCCCTGATGACTACAGTACTACTACAATTTCTACTTCATAGAAGCCCAGTCAGTTGCCTGCAGTCAAACAGCTTGTACGTGGGCAGAGCTGGAACTCATACCCAGGCCTGACTCTCATGGCCAGTTTTTAGCAACTATTCTTCCTCCACCTCATGACAGGTTGTCCCCAAGCTCTGTTTTCCCATCTGAAATTTTATGGGAATATCCAGCAGGGACAGGGACAGGGAGCAGCTGGAGCCTCAGAACACTGAGCGAGTCTGGTGTGAAATCCTGCTGTTCTGGATTGCACCAAGCAGGTGCTTTGCTCCAGCTTCTCTGTTGCTGGTGATGATCACTCATGATAAGCAACATGCGATGAAGAAGGTGACAGTGGCTCGCTCTTGCTTGGCAGAGAATTGCAAGTGGGTTCTGCACAGTGACTCCCAAGGGAGGAACTCTCTCAATGTCGCCATTGCTCACTCTCAGCTCTAACCTGCTTCTCCCCCACCCAGAAAGGTAGGATTGTAAAGCACAAGCTTCAGAGTCAGACTTGGGTTCAAATCCCTTTTCTGCTACTTACTGGCTCTGTGACCTTGGGCAAGTCACTTTAACTATCCGAGTCTCAATTTCTTCATCTGTAAGATGGGGATAGAAATACTAATTCCTTATAGGGTGGTTTTAGGCATCAGAGACGACAGATGGAAGCACTCAGCACAGTGCCTGGCATGGGTAAGTCTGCACAATCCAAGGCAGGCTCTCTTTCTCCTGGGTGTGTTCAGGGGCTATCATAGGGGAGGGAATCAGCACATAGACTCACACCAAGATTAGTTAAATGTTTATTGACAAAATAGGATACACATACCTGTACACAGGTATCACTGGGACATTTCAAGAACCTACCCCCCTCTTTTCTAGGCTCCCTCCTGATTCAGTGTGGGCTCTCTAGAAAAGGGTTTCTGGCATTTTCTTGCTGGAAACCTTGTAGGTGTGTTGGCTGGGCTCTCACTGCTTCTCATGTCCACATCTGCCTGTCCCTGTGGGCTGTGGACAAGGGGCAACGAGCCTCTGCTCAGTCACTCATGTCCAGACCAAATTCTGGATATAACTCTTTGGTGGTGACACTTCGGATCACAGCTGAAAGGAAGGAAGGATGGATGTCTAGTGGGGAGAAGTGGGGGAGAGCATGGCCAAAGCTCTGGGCTAGCCTCGTGGCCCTGACCCACCCAGGACCAGCACCTCTGGCTCCAAGCCAGTGCCCACATGTGCATCTCCCCTGATTAGCCAAGGTCACCTCCCTCCTTCTAGGCCTCATTCCCTGGGCCCTGCCTGGCTGCCCAACATGCCAGGCATTGTATACTCAACACTTGACCTGTGAGGACTCCCTGAACCCTCACCCCATCTTGCAGAGTAAAGCGAAACTTCCATAGAATCCGATCTCAATACACAGCAGCTGGAATCATCTGCTTCAAATGTAAACTGACAATCTCCGCACATGCTGAAAACCCGACTCCTCAGCACGGTCTGCATGCTGGCCCTTGCCCATCTGCAGCCCCAGGATGCTGTCCCTCCTCTGTTTGCCCACAAAGACTCATCATTTCCTCCCCTGGGAAGGGTTCTCCTCAGAGGTCTCTCCTGACCACCTTATCTCACCCCCACAACCCGGTTCATACCTCAATATTCTCCCCATCTCTGCCCCCTGTCTCCTTCGTAGCACTTAACACATTTTGTAATTAATTTGTTGTGTTCATTTACTTATTGCCCATTTCCCCCACCCCCAACACCAAAACCTAAGCAATAGGAGAACAGGGACCTTCAAGTGTCTGGTTCACCCAAGTGTCCCCAGCACCCTATTGAGTGCCAGGCACACAGTAGGTGCTCAATAAATATTCACTGAATGAACAAAAATGGATAGGCCACAGCTCCAGGTCTCAAGCTATCTAATATGAGCTTATACTCCTCAACACTAGGCTACACTTCCCTCACATTCCTTTCTTCTTGGACCCTGGTCATCCTCGTCTCTTTATCTGTCTATATTTCTCTCCTGTTTTCTCCTTCCCCTCCTCTGGGACCCATTCTCCAAAGAAACACAGAGAAGCCCTCCCTGCTGTGGAATCCTGCAGGCTGACGGGCACTTCTGCGACATGTGCTAAAACTCAGGTGTCAGCTGGGCAGACAGCCCCAGCTCTGCATACTATCCCAGTGGTCACTGGCTGCTGAACCCCAGTGCCCACCACTCCAAGCCAGCTGATGGAAATGAAGTTTGTACAAAGCGATCTACACATTTCCTTACCTCCAAGGTGGGCTGTTCTAACCAGCCCAGATACACAGGTGTCCGTGCCTTGGCTAAAGCCCTCTGGATAGTGAGATTTTGTTCAAGGAGGAACAAATACCCCTTTAAGCCACAAAGGGTCACCCTTACACTTTCTGCCTCTTTAGCAACTCAGCCATTTGAGGCAAGAATATCACTTTCAGCATGCCCCATAAGACTGGGAACCCTTAGTCCTCAGCCGAGCAGGTGGACATGCCCTACTCAAACCTGCCTGTAGCTCGAAAGCAGGCTCAGTACTGGAGGAGAAACCCCAGGAGCTCAGGTAAGAGCTGTACAGTTGCTTTGCTGTGAGCAGAGGGGCTAGGGCATTCCCGGAGCTGGTGAGCTGAGAAGGGAGGCAGGGTTGACAAGTTAGGAGGCCCAGGAGCAAAATCCAACAGCCCTAGGGGAGAGGACACTCTCAGAGCTCTGGTCGCTTCTCTGGAGTCCTGCTGCTCACCTAGTCTGCCCAGTAGCATCTGCCCCACATCCTTGATGTCATTATACTCGTGGAGCTGGGAGATGTGGTCCTCCAATTCATCCACACTGTAGCCTCTGGGGTGAGGATGGAGAGAGAAGGAGAGAAAGCCAGTTAAGAAAGCTGATGGATGAGGAGGGCTGGCCCGTGGCTCACTCGGGAGAGTGTGGTGCTGATAATACCAAGGCCATGGGTTCGGATCCCATATAGGGATGGCCGGTTAGCTCACCAGGTGAGCGTGGTGCTGACAACACTAAGTCGAGGGTTAAGATCACCTTACCAGTCATCTTTTTAAAAAAAAAAAAAAAAAAGAAAGCTGATGAGGATCCCAGGCTCAGACAGTAATGAGGCATCTTGGGCTGATGGTTAGCTCACTTGATTACAGCATGGTGCTGATAACATCAAGGTCAAGTGTTCAGATTCCTGAATCAGCCAGCCACCAAAAAAAAAGACAGTAATGTGGCATCTGTTCAACAAATGTTCACTAAGGGCCTACTAGGTGCTAGGAACTGGGCATGTAGTGATGGCAAAATAGACCCTGTCCTCATGAAGATCACAGCAGGGCAGGGGATCTGCCCAGCTCCTCACTCCTGGCAAATGTGCCCTGTCCCCTTAGGGAGGGATCCCCAACCACATTGGTACTATGTGGCTCTGGCCACAGTTAAGGGACTGAGAGATGGGCACATGATCCAAGCAGCCAGGCAGATTCCCTAAAGTGTGAAATGCACATTCAAAGGCTGCTCAGTCTTGGCCATATGGCTGGAACGAGGAGCATGGGGAACTCCAGGAGTTGTGGAAAAGCCAGCTTCCCCTACACACTGATGCCCCATCTGCAGAGAGAGAACGGAGTCCACGTGGAGATGAAAGCAGAGGCAGAGAGTGTGGCTCCAGAGAGAGACTGGGACAGCGACAGCATCCATTCCCCACAGCTTTCCAGTTTCTGGTTCTAGGCCCTCCACAGCCTGACCACCTGCCTACCCGACAGGCTCCTGAGACACCCTGAATCCAATGGCATAGTCCTGTTTTGATGGTAAGCTAGTGCCACTGGGTTTCAGTTACTGGGCACTAGTTAAATGTCATTTTAACCATGCTGATGAACCCAAGGAAACTTACTCAGATATTAATTGAGAGATCTCTTTGTCCAGCATGTTGCTCTTCTCCTTCAGTTTCTGAATGTCAACATGCAGAGACTCCTCGTTGGTCCCATTAGCCTGGCCAGAGTTGGGAGATGGACGCTGAGTGGCAGAAAAAGGCATCAGCTGGACTGATGAATTATCCACAATTCAGAGCCCCCAATAGCCACTCCCTGCTTCTGCTTGGTAATAGACCCCCAACCCCACAAAATAAGACTACAATTCCCAGCTTCCCTTGGAATGGGTGTGGCCCTAGGATTAAGTTCTGACAAGTGGAACTTAGTCAGAAATGGTGTATGCATCATGTGGGAACTGTCCTTCCAGGGACAGGGCATGCCTTTCTCTGGCCTTCCTACTTTCTGCTGGCGGGAATGTGGATGTGACGCTGGAGCTGAACAGCTCTCTTAGGTGATGATAAGCCACATGCTGAGAAGGTGGTAGAACAAGATGGAGGCCTGGGTCCCTGAGGACTATTTAAGACACTGTTATTTGGGGTTTTCTTTCACTCCCAGCCAAACCCAATCCTAACTAATGGGCCCACCCTGGCCCCCAGTCTGACCCCAGAGAATCCACTCCAGGTATCCTTCTTGCATTCTCCTCTCAAGGCTGCGATGTCACTGGGTTTATAATCTCACTGGATAATAAAACCCTTCTCAGGGGCTACAGTTCATCTTCATGCTTTCTGCCTCTAAAAGCTGCAAAGTCCTGTGCCCAGTACACAGCTAATCTTCAGGATATGTATGTTGGATGAACTGTCTACATGTGATACAAGAAGAGACTGAGGCAGATGTGGTTCTTGTTCTTAGGTCAGTGGCTTGTAACAAATACTGAGTGAGCGCCATCTGCTAGGCACTAGCAAAGACTCTGGGGGACAGGAATGGCCAAGACATCAAGCCTGGCCTCAAAGAGAAAACACCCCACAGTTATGATCTTCCTCCAGCTATCTCCATTTAAAGCTCTACTCACGTGTCACCTCATCAGAAAGGCCTTCCCTGACCACCCTGTCTAAAACAGTAACGCCTCTATCCCTTTGTCCTAATGTATTATCTCATTTCTCACCACCTGATCTGTTACATATTTCATTATTATTTTCATTGTCTGCCTTTCACCACTGGAGGGTAAACTTCACAGAAGCAGGAACTGTTTTTTTCACTGCAGGTTGCACAGTGTCTACGACAGTACCTGGCACATAGTAGGCACTAAATAAATATTTGCTAAATGAATGGGTGACTAATAACTAATCAACTCATTATAAACCTGAAAAGTGCTTTGAAATTGAAGTATAGTGTGCTAAGGGAGTGTCTAATGGGGCAACTGGACTGAGCAACTGGAGTGGGGGTAAAGCTTCTCTGAGGAAGCTGAACTTTAAAGGATGAGTAGGCATTTGGCAAAACGTTGGAGGAAAGTATTGCAGACAGAGGGGACAGTAAGTATACCCAAATGCCCTAACCCAGAAGCGGGCACATGTTTGGGGGGAATGAGTGCTTTCCACGTGGGTGGAATGGTGAGGGGATGGTGGTGTGAAAAAGAACGAAAGCAAGTGCTTGTGGTGCTATTTATTAGAAAGGAGAGGAGGCAGAGCCCAATTCCAGAGCCTGGAGTACCAGGTATGACAGATGTGAGGAGTTGGTTTGTGGTCCTGCTTAGGACACCGAGTGTGGTTTCAGACTTGGCAAGTGGGAAGGCAAAGATATTCTGCAGGCAGCTCTGAGTGTCCAGAGAAAGGTCAAGCTGGAGAGAGATGGGAAGGTTGTGGGCACTGGGGTGTTGAAGGCATAGGAGTGAGACTTTTTTTTTTTTGTAGCTTTGAGGAGTGTATAGAAAGAGAACAGCAGAGAGAGGAGAGCAGAACCCCCCAGAAACCTACTGTTTACATGGTAGGAGCAGCAGGAGGCAAAGAAAACCAGAGGCAGGCGATCGGGATGAGGCACCTGCAAAGAGGCCCAAAGAGGAGAAAGCACAGGGTACTGGGTGACAGCTCAGGCTCTGGAGTGGGACTACTTCAGTTCAAAGCTCAATCAACTGGATCCTTTGGCAAACTGGTGGCTTCCCACCCACATCGTCTGGGCTCACTGCAGCTTATCTATCAGGCCTTGCCTGCGACCTTACCACCTCTGGGGGGCCCTCCTTGTAACCCCAAGCCTGGACTCCCCCTCTCCCCGTCACAGAATCGTAGTCATACTGTCCTGGAATTTTTTTTGCCTTTTCATCCCCCTCAGCCCGTGGCTCCTGGAGGGCAGGGGCTTTCTGGCACCCACCTGCGGCCCAAGCACCTGGCTCCGAGCAGTTGCTTAGTCAATAAACAAACCAATAAAAGTCTTTCTCGATCTAACTCGGGCAACCCCGCCGTGGGGGATGAGAGAAGAAGGAAAAGGAGGCAGGGTTTTGGGGCAGCTTGCCGGAGAAGGAGAGACTATCATCAGCTAAAGGAGCGGACAGCGTGAACGCCAAGCGTCTTCCTGACTGAGGGGTTGGGGGTATATTCAGAGGCAGGGCTGGGTGACGGGCGACACCAGTGAGCAGGGGCGATGACAGGTGCTGGAGAGGGGTAAAGGCATCTGAGGAGACGTGGGAGGGAGGTGACCTCGCACGGGACAGGACACCCCTTCTTCTTTGAAGATTGGAGGCAGGAGGAAAGGAAGGGGACGGGCTGGGAAAGACCTGGAGGCTCTCGGCAGATCAGGTCCTGCCGGGGGAAGCCCTGGAGAGGGCTGGGGTGGAGAAAAGGGCCGGGGGCAGCAGACGGACTCACGGGCGGGGCCCAGACATACTCACAGGGGATCGGAAGGCCCCGCGGCAGCTTCGGTGAAGGCCCGGTTCCGTCCTGGAGAGGAATCCGAGGGGAAAGGCTGATGGGGCCGAGGACCGGCGCTGAGGGGAGGGGTGGGGTGGGGTGCGATAGGAGCCGCAGCTGGGAAGCAGGAGCGAGCGACGGGCCCCGGCTGGGAGGGGGCAGGCACCCTCCCCGGGCCGCTGAAGGGACCCTCCAGGAAGAGGGCGAGCGGGCAAGCGTCTGGAGCGGGGTCTTTGCAGGGGATTTGTGGGACCAGAGAGTCGGGGCAGAACTGTGAGGAGTCAGGAAAGGAGCTGTGAAGTGAGACGCTTTCCCCTGCTGTCCATTCCTCGCCCACCTTCTGAGCCCTGGGGTCCGAGCCCCCCGGGTCAGGGGTTTATGTGACACAGGAGGGTCCAGGACGGGGGCTGGAGAGCGGCCTCTCAGGTCTGCCAGCTGATTAGAATCCCGTGAGGGTCACCACCAACGGTCGCACAGAAAGCTGCGCGCGCACCCAGCGAGGGCCCCGCCCCTCCCCGGGAGGGCGGGAACCGCGATTGCGCGCGCAGCTTTCATTGCGGCTCCACCAGTCCCTCCTGTCCCGCGGCGGTCTGGCTACGCTCCCTTTCCCTTCATTTTGCTCATCCGCCAATGGGCTGCGAGCATTGGGGCCACGCCCATTTTGATACTGCCTAGTACCGCCCTGGTTCCGCCTATTCTGGCTCAGTGGCACATCCGCTCGGTCGTTGCCGGAAACAATTCGCAGTGGTTGCTGGGATCGTGGTGATGTGGCCCCCCCTTCCCTCTCCCCGCCCCGGAATGTCGGAAGAAACCCGACAGCGCAAATTGGCCGCGGCCAAGAAAAAGGTAAAGCGCGCCGGGTCGCGGCCCCCTAATCGAGCCCGAGGCCCCTCTGACGGTGGGACCTTGGCCAGAGTCTGTGCCACTCCTGAGGCACACCGGGCTTGTCCCTCTGCGCCTCTTGACTCCCCCCACCAAAGTCTTCTCAGCCTGCCCCGCCCCTTCAACAGCCCAGCCCCCTCCCTCGCCCGGCGCCCCCGGGTGACATTGGGCCGGAGACTCCCGGGGCTCCCCGCCCTGGGCTCGTCCCTGGCCTCCTGCCACCCCAAACTGGACCTTCCTGGGCTCCTGAGTCCCCTAGGTTCCCGTCTCCAAGGTCCTCGGTCATATCCCTGAGCTCCCCTCCCCCTCGACGAGGAGTAGGAGGTAGTTACGTCACTGCCCCCCTCGGGGCTGTCACAGTCTCCCTGCGAACTGTCATTACTGCCTGGAGCCCGGCCTTTGATCTGACGACCCAGTTCCCTAAGTGTTTTCACCCCTTTCCGGCTTGTGTGGTCATGGCACAAATTTCTATTTCGAAGGATACTCAGGAGTATGGGACCTAGGACCGAGAGGTTTCTGGCTCCCTTATTCCCTTATCTTAGACATTGACAACGTGAAAAGCCTACACTTCACCAGTGAGCTTGAAATGTTGACAATATTTGTGGGTGACAGTTGGGAGAACGGGTTTGATTTGGTTTTCTCCCGGGTTTCTACTCTCTAGAGACACTTTACAATTTGTTTCTGAGTCTCTATCTCACATTCGAATTCCCTATGATTGTGGGACCAGAGTATCTTTCCATCATTGCTTTCTGGAGTGAGATATGCTTATCTTCTGTGGAACAGATCCTCGGCAACCAAACTTCACAGCTTGAATCTTGCCTACATCATTTCAATCTGGGGTGCCACAGGATCAATATGGGGCATCTTTCTGAAGCATCACTTTTGCTTGTTTCCATTGAGAAAAAAACGTATTAATGTACTTAGGGGTGACATTCACATAGATTGTGAGATTATAATAGACTTCTCTCTGAAATGATGCTTGGGTTGTCCTCTTTCTGTTAGGTTCCCAGATGCACTAGGGGTGTGCCTTCACTGCCTTCTGCCATTAGGATACATGATGTAAATGTTTGAGAAGTACTGGGTGCAGCAATAACAGCTGTGTAAGAAAGGACCCCAGTGTCTGATTTCTAAACCACACAATATATACGGTTCCTGCTTAATGTTTACTTTTCCACCTCTACCTCTGGTGTTGCCTCCTGGCAGGTGCTGATTCATGGCAAAGCTCCAGAAGACTGAATTTAAATTCTATTATTGCCTTTTTTAGTCATGTTATCAGTCCATTTCTTCAGTCATTAAGTGATCACTACAACACCTTGTAGGGTTGCTGGTGGCATTAAATCAGACGGTACAAAAAAGAATATTTTGTAAAAACAGTAAAGTAGGATGTGAATATAGGGGTGTATAGTTCTCATGAATATTTCTGTTTTTCCTTTTCACAGTTGAGAGAATATCAGCAGAAGAACAGCCCTGGTAGTCCTGCAGGAGCAAAGAAGAAGAAAAAAATAAAAAATGGCAGTAGCCCTGAGTCAACCGCTTCTGGTGATTGCCACTCACCTGAGGATGTGAGTCTTGGCTGGCTAGGCTCCTGGGAACAGGGGGCTTAAGGGGCAGTAGGTGGTAATGGTTGAGATTGTGGAGTAAGTGTCAGGCACTGGTTAAGAATTCTGGGTTTGAATACTACCTCTCCCTCTGCTAGGGATATGATTTAGGGCAAATTGTTTAAGCTCTCTGGGCCTCTCCACATCTGTAAAATAAGGGTAATATTGTTTTACTTACAGTTAGGAAGTTTAAAGGAGATTTGTTTTTATGTCAATTCCTAGTAAAGGACCTGGTACAGAGTGCACATGTAATAAATGGTAGTTGCTATTTGATTTTCCTCATCCCCAGCCGCAAGGGGAAGCCAGGCCAGTGAGACAGCCACTTGCCATGAAGCTCTCCCTTTAGGAAGCATGGAATGAGCCCCAGGCTGTGGTGAGGAAAGCCCCAGGCACTAGGATTAGGTAAAGATCTGAGTTTTGAGTCCATCTTTGCCATCAGCTTGCTGGATGACCTCAGAAAAGTGACTTCCTCCCCTTGGCCTCAGTTTCCTCCTCTGTAAGATGATATTGTTGGATGAGATCAGTGTCTTTCAAACTTACTTTTTAGCTATAGCCCCTTTGTTTAAGTGAACCCTTCCTTAGAAGTCTGGTTTTTAAAATGGAGATGGGGTTGAGGAACCCTACCAGATTCATCCCCCACATTCTGGGCCTGAGGAGAGCGTCCAGTGTGTGTGTGAAGAGCTGCATCGGTTGAGTGACTCCACTCTGCGTGACTGCGTCACTCAGGGGATTTTTCCTTCTCTTTGTTTCTGCCTCTGGCAGGGCAGCAAGTGGCCTTTGGGAAGGATGGCACGGGCCATGGGATTGATTTCCTCTGCTTTTCTTCAACATTCGTTTCTCTGAAGCCACCTCTTCCTCCTTCCCTGACTCTCTTGCCTCTCTCTAAGCCACTTCTTTCTTCCCCCTGCCCTTGTTTCCCCTTTTCGCCTCCTGTAGATTCAGGACATTCTGAAGGTGCTGGTGTCCGACCTTAATCGTTCCAATGGGGTAGCGCTGCCCCCATTGGACAAGTGGAAGGTGAGCCAGTGCTGAGCCCCCCTTTCTGTCTTGCTCTCTCCTGGCGGTGCATGCCCCTAAGGCTTCTGTGGTTTGGGGGACTGTTTGCCTCTGGCTGATTTTATGTTGCTGCCGTTAACCCTCGGCCTGTTTGTCTGCTTCTTCACCTGCTTGGCTGGTTGGGTTTTTTCCCCTTCCCCTACATCTTTTGTCATCTTGGAGAAGATGAGACATACCTCGAAGGTTAAAGGTAATTTGGGAATAACTTTCAGAGCAGAAGTGTGGGATTTGGTCTTTTGAGTGCCCAGTGTGGTGCTATCAGACTAGGAGAGATTGAAAAAAAAAAAAAACAAACCTTCAGGTCTTTCCCTCTGGGCATCTGTCCCCAAAAAACTAGTAGACCACATGGAAGGTTGTAATTTTATTGAATTGATTAATTCATTTTCATTTCAGAGTAGGATCCATAGGGTTGAGAGAAAGTGAGTTTGCATTACAGTTGCAAGGAGTAAGTTTATTTTTTTCAGAGGAACTAACTGTAAAGGATGTGAAATTAACCAAACAGATGAGTGACCAGGACATTCTGCCCCTAATCTCTTTTAAAAATCAAATGGACAATTTGCCATATTCATTGGGCTCTTGATAGCAAAGGCACTTTGCTAACCAGTGGAGAAGATAGATGAACAACTAGGATGCACACCGAGGGAGGCAGACAAGAGACAAGGGAGGATGTGACAACTGGGGGGAGGCTGGAGGGGGTGGCATTTAAGACCAGTTTGAAGGTTAAAGATAGCTAATGGGCCTCCATGTGGAGAGTGGAGGAGGCAGGGGGAGCGGTAGGGTCGTGGCCAGCATTATCACAGACCTTCTTTCAGGGACACAAGGAGCCTGGCAGGACAGGGGATTGGGGTACATAGAGCTAAGAGATGACCTCCTCCGATGTGATGTTGGCAATACCTCCTTAGCTAACTTGCCCAGGAGACATCTGCCAAGGCACAGGAACTGGGCTGAAATAGGCTAGATCCTGTTGGAGATGGGCCCGGGGGAGGGACTGGGACAGGGCCCTGCTGGCTGGTATTAGAATGTTTTCCAATCATCATAACCATTCCCATCCAGTCAGGTAGGTCTGTCCAGGCCTGTCCAGGTGCTATGACTCACCTCATGGGCTCAGAGGAGACACCGAGTGGCACGGTGGGAGGAGCACATGCCTAGAGGCGTCCTTCAGCCATGAATTTGGCTTTTGCTCTGCCTGTGGTCCAGTTGGGTAGGGGATCTGGGGGGCCTCAGTTTCCTCATGGGAAAAATATTAGTGTGCTCTATGCCTGGCACAGGTCCCTCTGCTGTGGAAATGAAGACCCAGATCCCCATATTCCCTTCTTGTTTTAAAATCCTCTCTACATCAGTACCTTTCCCACGTAAATTTTCTACTCCAGGAATGCAGGCCTGTGTTTGCTGTCTCCTGAGTAGAACTGATAACATTTTTAGAAATGGGGAATAATGGAGAAAGAAAAATAGGATGTGACATTTTGAGGGGAGTGGACATTTAAAACTCCATAATTAGCTACAAGACTTAAAATTATGAAATAACTTGGTTGCTCACAAAACAATCATGTTACATATATTTAAAAGTCCTCAGAAAAATACTTTTCCCCCTCTGAGCATTCCTATGTCTATTCCTAGAAATGAGTGGGAGCCCAAGATTCCAGGAGGGACCCAGAGCCTGTCAGAGTCCCTGGCTGGGAGTGCCAACCTCTCCTAAAGTCTCATGCCTGGTCAGCTACTGAAGCTCTGCTCTACCTATTAGATTCAGTTGTAGAGACTGCCAGGGCAACTCCAGGTTCCAGGGTCAATAGTCACACCATGGACACCAGGTTCTGGGGCCATGGTCATAGTCAACATGCAAAGACACCTTGGCTCATCCTCAGTTCCCTCAGGATCTGCAGTACTTCCTTGCTCTAAGGGGGCAGTGGATTTGGGTTTTCAGAGGTGAGGGTGATAGGTCCAGAGAGCAGGCAGCCCTTTCCACAGAGAGGTGCAGCCACTTCCTCCCCAGGCCTAGCTTCCCTGGCCAGGCCTTGGGTCCCTAGTTCTCTTCCCTTGTCAAGCTCCAGCTAGTCGTCCATCGTTCCCGTTCTGTGTCCATCTGGCCCACTGGACATTAGACGATCTCTAGAGCCAGAGGCTTGGACTAAGAGATAGGCCTGAGCCTGGAGAGAGGCTGGGTGGAGGTCTGGTCAAGCAAGTGGGTCCAGTTGGGGAAGAGGGAGAGGCTTCCACATGGCTCTGAAGTCCAAAATCTGAGGTTTGTTCCTTAGCTGCTATTTTTGAGAAAGAGGCCCCACCACCTCCAGGATGCCCAGAGTCAAAGGGCAGACCTCTTGCCCCTGGTTTCTCAGGTTTTCTCTTGGTGGATATCTGTTTCTGGAGCTGGGAAGTTAGGGTGGGGGTACTGGCTATGGTTTATTTTCTTTCTGCCTCCAGAGAGCAGGTAGACGCTTCTAGTTGGGCAGCTTTTTGCCCTAAAAGGCCTGAATCAGAGACATGCAGCCAGTGGTTGGTGGGGAGGGGGGGCTGCGGAGAGGAGGACAGGGAGGAAAGGAGAGCGGGAGAAGAGAGAAGCAGACAGCCATGTTGACCATGACTCCTGCTTCAGACCACTATCCGCCACCCAGCAGGGGCCCAGGGGTGGAGGCAGTCTGTGACACCACTGGCTTTCTGGAAGAACAGGGCCCTTCTTCTCCCTGACTTTGGCACACCTCCCTCCTGCCTGCTGTGGCTGCCACAGGTCAGAGCCTGGTACTGTCTTCTGCCAAACTGTAGGGAGACAAGGTGCTTGTGTGTTCATGGAGGAGGTCTTGCAGCCCTTGCTTTGAGCTTTGGCTGTCTAGAATGCTGCCAAGGTGCTAAGACCTGAGTGAGCCATCTCCACAGCCCCCTGTCTCCACAGTGGCTCCCAACATGTGTGATTGTCACTCTGACTGCAGCAAGGCCTGTCCTGCCTCCTCCACATCCTTGTGTCCAAGAAACTGAAGTGCCTTCTCTCCTGCATTGCCCCCTAACCCCTTGCACTGTTCTGTGACAGGCATCCAAAGACTGCACTGCTCCTGTGCCACCAACTACTGATGACACCGTGTCATCTGGCAGTGTCCCTTCACCCAGTGCTAGTCTCACTAGCATGACATCACCTCAGGTTGGTGTCCGCTGCCCTCCTGTGTGTTCGCCCCTTCCTCCTTCCCAATGGACTGTACCTACTATGGATTCTCTTGTCCTTTCTCCAGGTGGCTTGATTCCTAGAGCCAAGTGCCCTTCTTGGGGACTGGGATGGGGGAGGTCAAGACAGGGCTTTTCCTTGAGGTCCAGGGAGATGAAAGGTTGTTGGAATGAGCTTGGCTCGCCTTTCCTGTGTGACTCTTACTGGAAATTGAATGATGACCTCATATGTCTCTTCCCAAACAGAACCATGATGCTGACAATGGCCCTAACCACATGGATGAGACCAAGTGAGTGTCTCCTAGCGGGGCAGCAGTCCCTAGGCCGGGACTCAGGGAAGGCCACTTTTTCCCACTGAGCCACCTGCACCCCTGACCCATGTCTCCATCCCTAGGACTTTGTCATCGACTGAGAGTCTGCGACAACTCTCTCAACAGCTCAATGGTCTTGTGTCTGAGGTACCCCAGAAATTGGGGCCCAGAGGGGGAGAGTGGGGAGGAAAGTAGGATAGAAGGAAAATGAGACAGGGATTTACAAGAGAGAAGATCCTGCACCAGCTGACTTGTTGGAGAATGTTGCATTCGTCACCTCTCCTCTGAGTCTTCTCCCTTGAAGCTGTACTCATGAAGGATGGGCTACGAGCTTGGCTTCCTCATTTGTTCCTGCTGCAGAAAGCACAGGATGATGTTGATAACATCAAGGTCTAGGGTTCAATCCCAGTGCTGGACACCACCAAAAAAAAAAAAAAAAGTACAGGATGAGAGGTGCTCAGGAGGGGAGGGGTGATGGGGGAGGAAAGACCTTGAGAAGTTAGCACGAAGGGGTTACATAGGAGGGCCTGGTCCAAATTAGGCAGGAAAGAAAATTTTGCCAGTTGACTGGGAAGAAAGGAAGTCAGAGGGCTTTGTCATCGAGGGCAACAGTCTCTCCATGTGCGCTCTCATGTCTTCTAGTCCACATCTTACATCAACGGGGAGGGCCTTGCGTCTTCTGCTAACATGAAGGATCTGGAGGTGAGTGCCCCTGCAGGCAGCCCCCCAACCAACTCCCACAGTGGGGGCTGGGTGCCCCGCTGCCAGCTGAGACAGCCCCTCCCCCCACCCCTAATGATTGCTCTCTCTACCTTTCCCCCCAACCCTCCTCCAACTCCTCCTCTCTGCATGCGCCTCAGAGCCGGTACCAAGAGCTAGCAGTAGCCCTGGACTCCAGCTATCTAGCAAACAAACAACTCAGTAGCACGATAGAGGAATTGGTAAGAGTCCAGTGGGGTCCCCCAATCCCACACTGCCAATCCTGGGCTCCAATTTCCCCTTGGGGCTCTGAAGGGGCTGGGGAACCCTGTTGCCAAGGGAGAATGGGGTGCTGGGGGGCCTAGGTCTCAGCTGGAGGGACCCCAGAGCATGCAGCATGGCTCTTTCTGTTGCTGCCCTGTCTGCCTACTGTCTCTTCTCCAGACACTCCTGCTTTAGTCCTCGCCACACTTGCCCTTGGCTGTCCCTCTGGTGGAAACACTAGGCTGACTGTTGTTAGGAGCCCTGTGTTCCCACCCTGGCTTAGTTCCTGCTTTGCTCTGTCTTTGGTTTTGGACAAGCCACCTCTCCTACCTGGGCTTGAGTGTTCTGAGATAGAATTAAAGGGTGTCAAAGGTCCTTTTCAGCTCTAAGAATCAAAGATTTCAAGTCACACTTGAAATGTCAGGGAGAAGGAGAGCTTTCCTGTCCTTTTCTTTCCTAGATCCCTGCTATTAAAAACAGTCCCTGTCCCATGGTGTGTGGTTAGTGGTGAATGAATGCACCCTTCTGAATTACAGGCTGGCAGAAGGGTACTCTTTCTTTTCTCAGACTCCATTTCTAGAGGTTTCTGTTATTGTTTAAAGAGAATCCAGATTCAGATGTTCAGCTCTGTAGCTGTGAGTGAAAACCAACAAAGACCCAAATTCTGTTTCCTTGGGAACTTGAGAAGAGTTTGTCAGTTCATGTCCCCGTAGGGTCTGAGAGCTTTTCCTTCAAAATCCATTCCTGGCCCCTGCCCACCCCTTCCTGGTCTGGGGAATGGAGCCAAGGGGGACAACCTCAGTCACCTTCCTTTTACTCTCCCCACAGAAACAGCAGCACCAGGAAACTCTGGATCAACTGGAAAAAGTAACATGATTTCTTTGTTTGCGCATTCTACGGCTGATGGGTTAGGGAAAGACTCAGATGGAGAGGCCCCAGTCTTGTCTTGCCCACTCCCAACCTGGAGAAGACTCATTCCCTGTGCCCCACCCCCAGCCCCACAAGGTCCCTGAGAATCTGGTCTCATTGGTGGACCTGTCCCTGGGCCATTATTGGCATTCTAGGGTCATGTTCCGTGTTATTGTATTTCTGCCTCCCCCAGTAAGAGACATTTCTTTCCTCTTCTTATAGGAGAAGAAAGAATGTCAGCAGAAGTTGGCAAAGGAACAGGGGTCCCTCCGGGAACAACTGCAGGTGAGTGGACTGTATGGTATTCCCTCATGTCACCTAGAAAACCTTCCTTCCCTCTCTTTCAGCACCTGTTTGGGTTTCTCCCAAAGGTTCACATTCAGACCATAGGGATCCTAGTGTCTGAGAAGGCAGAATTACAGACAGCCTTGGCCCACACTCACCAGGCAGCCAGACAGAAAGCAGGTGGGAATCTGGGCACTCCTTCCTCCCTCAACCTGGTGCCTTGGCAGGTCTTTGGGGGAGTCTTTTGGGCTCCATCTCAATCTCTGTCATTCTAGAAGAGTCTGAGGATCTTGCCAGCCGCCTGCGGTCATCTCGGCAGCGCATAGGAGAGCTGGAGCGGACTCTGTCTGCTGTCTCCACACAGCAGAAGCAGGCCGAAAGGGTGAGCCCAGCCATCTGCCCTCACGTTTGTGCCTCCACCCCCAGGGGAAAAATGAGCTTAAAGAATTAGATAGACCTGGGTGTTCAAATCCCAGCTGTAAGTGATCTTAGCACTTAACCTCTAATACTCTTGCATTTTTCACCTACAAAATGGAGATAATCATAGTAACTGCCTCCTATGGTGGTTGTGAGGATTAGATGGGATTGTTAGCATGGTGCCCGGTGAAGCACTCAATACAGGTTCAAACAGTGGTGATAATAGTAGTAACAATAGCAATGTTACCTGATATCTCTGGGCCTGTGTCAGCCAGCTGTAAATCAGATCTCTTACCCTGCCTTTTCCACCCTTACTGAGTTCTTTTTTTTTTTTTTAAAAGATGACCGGTAAGGGGATCTCAACCCTTGGCTTGGTGTTGTCAGCACCACGCTCAGCCAGTGAGCAAACTGGCCATCCCTATATAGGATCCGAACCCGCGGCCTTGGTGTTATCAGCACCGCACTCTACCGAGTGAGCCATGGGCCAGCCCGTTACTGAGTTCTTATTAAAACCAAATAAGCACATGGGCTTGGAAATGCCTTGAAAAAGACGTAAAGTGTGATTCAGGGCAAGGGAATGTTAGTGCCCAATAGTTGCTGTAGCTCTCGGTATAGTGTGCCCCAACTACATCTTCTACCTGCCAACTCCTGACTTCACCCTTCTGTATTTGCAGTGCAATAAGGAGTTAACCAAAGAGCGAGATGCTCTCAAGCTGGACTTGTACAACAGCAAGTAGGAGGGGAAGGTGGATGGGAGGTCTGGGGGGCCCCAACACGGGTGATGTGGTGGGAGGTGGGAGGGGTACAGGAGAGCAGGACGAGGTAGTTGCACAGGTTTGGATGTGTGTAGAGCCAAGCTCTGGTTCCAGCTGTGCCAGCGACTTGGGTGTAGCCTCAGGCAATTCATGTCTTCTCTCTGGACTGTCACTTGTGACTGATGATTGCTGGGGTCCCTTTCCCATGCCACAGTTCTGTGGTTGTGTGGCAAAGATAGCGTGTTCCTTTCTGTTCTTCCTCCACTGCTTCTGGCCATAGGAAAAACAGTGAGGACCTGAAGCAGCACAACTCTGAACTTGAGGAGAAGCTTCGAGTTTTAGTGACTGAGAAGGCAGCCATGCAGCTTGGGATGGAAGAGCTACAAAAGAAGCTGGAGATGTCCGAGCTCCTGCTGCAACAAGTGAGTGGCTGAGCCCCATCCAGCTGGGGCCGCGGTTGCGAGGGTTTATCAGTGGTGACCTCTAGCCAAGAGCTGAAAAGTTTGAGTCCTGGTTTTGGTTCTGCCGTAAGATCCTCCAGAGATTGCTAAAAATCCACAAATTGATTCCTGGCCCAGAACTGTAGAATCAGACTTTCAGAGATAGGTCTTTAAAAAAATGTTTTGGTTTTGAAAGGATCCTGGTTGAAAACCATTGTTATGTAGATTACATTTATATGGCTAGCCCATGAGTCTCTTTACTTCCTCCTGAGGGCCAAGGCAACACTTTATTATTACTGGGATAGTAATAATAGAGGATAGAGGTCTTTATTGACCCTGAGTTGTACTTTGGTCCTAGCTCAGACCCTCGTGGGGTGCATTGCACGGAATTGTCTGAGCTCCTCAGATCTAAACTTCTCACTTGTCAACCATCCAGCTCTCTAGCCAGTCTGAAGCCCCTGATAGTAACCAGCAGTTACAGCAGGCCATGGAAGAGCGGGCCAAGCTGGAGACACACGTGGGGCAGGTGAGGCTTTGCAGAGGGAGGGATGTGGAAGGAAGATGACCCAGGTGGCCAGGAGCAGGAGAGGACCAGTGACAGCTCCTCCTAACTTCTGCACCCATTCTTGCAGCTGATGGAGTCGCTTCAGCAACTCCAGCTGGAGAGAGATCAGTACGTGGGGCACCTGGAAGGAGAGCGTGCCGTCTGGCAGCAGAGGATGCAGCAGATGGCAGAGCAGGTGAGGTCTGGCCCTTCCTTCAGCCCCCCACTTTGGAAAGGTCACTTAATCTTTCCGGGTATCTGTAAAATGGGAATCGCATCACTTGCTGTGGAGTGCGGCCAGAGGCCATGTGTGTTTTGGTTTTATGGGGGTGGGGGTAAGAGGGAGGTTGCAGCCTGTCCCTCCTGCAGCCCCTGCCTCCATGGCTCTTCCTCCTGTACTCTGAGCAGGTGCGCACATTGAGGGAGGAGAAGGAGCATGGCCTGAGTCAGGTCCAGGAGCTGGAGACCTGCTTGGCTGAACTGAGGAGGCAGACAGGTAAGCTGGGGTTGGGGTGGCCTGGGAGCAGGCAGGGGGAAGAGAAAGAGGTCTGTGCCAGCAGATAGCAAGTCCTGTCATCGGAGCCTCAGTGTCTCCATCTGCAAAGAGGGTTGGAGTGCCCATTGTCAGTCACCCACTGTTGTCTTGAGCACAAAGTGAAGAAATCTATTTGAAAGTGGCTTGAAAGATTGACCATCATCTAGGTGTGAGGAATTATTAGCCAGGAAGCCATGGTTTGAGGCAAGGAGCCTGAATTAGGAGCTGTGGGCCAAGAAGAGGGTTTTTTGCAACTCCAGAGGCCAGAGGCCCTTTTGTCCGCTTCCTTTCTCAGCTGAGCCTCCACCCCCGGAGCCCCAAGTAGGGCCCTCTGAGGAAGAACAGCGGCTGCAGGCGGAGGTTGAACAGCTGCAGAAGCAGCTGGAGAGCCTGGCAGGTCAGCTCCATGCCCAGGTTAAGGACAACGAGGGTCTGAGCTGCCTGAATCGGGAGCAGGAGGAGCGGCTGCTGGAGCTGGAGCGGGCTGCGGAGCTCTGGGGCGAGCAGGCAGAGGAGCGCAAGCAGATGCTGGACAGCATGCAGAGCGATCGCACCACCATCAGCCGCGCGCTCTCCCAGAACCGCGAGCTCAAGGAGCAGCTGGCTGAGCTGCAGTCCGGCTTTGTCAGGCTGGTGCGCCACCTGCCCTGCCAGCCTAACCTCCACACTCGCCCCCTGGGCCTTTGTTTCCCCACTTGTAAAATGGGGTGGAGACCTCACACAAAATGGTACCTGTGAAGACACCCTGTGAGCCAGAGCCCTGTGCCCCACTCCCTGCACCCTGGGTCTCTAGCTGTATCGGGTGGCCACTGATAGCTTCTCTCTGTCCAGACCAATGAGAACATGGAGGTCACCAGTGCACTGCAGTCGGAGCAGCACGTGAAGACAGAGCTGGCCAAGAAGTTGGGCCAGCTGCAGGAAAAGCTGGGAGACCTGAAGGAGACGGTAATCCCTGCCCCATCTGGGAAGGGCTAGGAGACAGGCAGCAGCCTGTAGGGAGGGGAGGTGCCAGGGCCAGGACAGAGACAGCTCCAGCCTGGGGAACAGGTAACCCCAGAGTTCTGCACAGCAGTCCTGTGACTATTCATTGCTCCCTTTCCTCTAATTTTTATAGTGGGTAGCCCTGGGCTCCTGCCAGGTCTGGACATGGTCATCCCAGCCAGAAGCATTGAACCCTGCTGAGTAGGGAAAGAGATAGTGGTATGACAGGAGGCTCCTTGGATTCAGACTTGATTCTAATCTCGGTGCCACCAATCACTATTCACATACGTTGCACTGTTAAGCCTCAGTTTCCTTAACTTAAAAGGAGATTAGCATTGTCTCACTGAGGGATGGAGTATTAAGTGAGGTAATGCAGGTAAAGTATTAGTCATTTCGTGTGCCCTGAACAGAGGTTGTTGGTCCCCTCTGCTTCTCCACCAGCCTGTGGCCTGAAGTTAAAATGGTGGGAAAGAAGGTTTTGAGTGTGGGGCTGGGTGCAGGAGACCTGGGGCTCTGGGCAAGGGAGGCAGTCACTGAGGCCTGGAGCGAGGGGGTCAGGAGCCTGAGCAGGCAGCAGAGCCCATGGTGCCCCTCTACCCTACTTATGGGTACAGATGCTGGAAGGAAGCCACCACCTGTCCTCACTCCCAGGGTCTTCCTGCAGGTGGAGCTGAAGAACCAAGAGGTTCAGAGTCTGCAGCAGGAACGAGAGCTATACCTGGCCCACCTGCAGCAGTACATGGCCGCCTACCAGCAGCATGTGGCCACCTACCAGCAGCTGACCTCCGAGAAGGAGGTGCTACACAAGCAGCTGTTGCTGCAGACCCAACTCATGGACCAGCTGCAGCATGAGGAGGTTCAGGGCAAAGCGGCAGCTGAGGTGGTCCGCCAGGAGTTGCAGGAGACCCAGGTGAGGGAGCTGCTGAGTGCTGGCCCCAAGTGGGAGGGCCTGGCAGCCTCTGTGCCGTCTCACTCTCTGTCCTGGTCCCCAGGAGCGCCTGGAAGTGGCCAGCCAGCACAATCAGCAGCTGCAGGTCCAGCTGAGCCTCATGGCTATGTCTGGGGAAGGTGAGTGAGCCTGCCCAGAGGGAGAGGAGAGAGCCTGAGGAAGAAGAGGGGCCCTTAGCAGCATGGCCTCAAGGAGTGGGAACTGTCAGAGGAGCTGCTCAGTCTCCTCTGGGAGTGGCTGGCCAGGGTCACACAGTGAAGGTGGGAGCAGAGGTGGGCCCAGAGCCTTCTTCCCAGGCCCATTCTGTGTCCCTTGTTGGGTTGTCTGAGGACCACTCTGGCTGCCCCCAATAGGAGATGGATCGGAAGAGAAGGGTGAGGAGGTTGCTCGGTCCAGGCTGACCATCCCAGAGGACCTAGAGAGCCGAGAAGCCATGGTGAGCCTCGCTCTTGCCTGCTCCTTTTCCATCCCCCTTTCCTGCCTGCCTCTGTGCACTCCCAGGCACCCTTACTCCTCTTGGTTTCCCTGCCCTGTGATTTCTCTTGAACCCCACACCTTCCCTGGGAGCCAGTGGTGAGACGCCATGCCACCTGGGGCTGACAGGTGCACCCACTGAGGCCAAGAGGGGATGGGCTCCTCTCTGCCTCCCTGCCCTGTTCATCCTGCATATGCCCACACAAATACACATGCACCTCTTGCCCACAGGTGGCATTCTTTAACTCAGCCCTAGCCAGCGCCGAGGAAGAGCAGGCACGGCTGCGTGGGCAGCTGAGGGAGCAGAAGGCTCAGTGCCAGCGCCTGGCTCACCTGGCAGCCCCATTCCAGAATGAGCCGGGGAAGGAGGCCCCAGTCCCTGGGAGCGGGGATGACTGTGTGTCTGGGGAGACCCATCGAGCTTTGCAGGGGGCCATGGCAAAGCTGGAGGTGAGTGAGCCTCTTCTCACCTGGGCCAAGAAGGGTGGGGGCGGGGCGAAGCAGGTTACTGCCAAGACCTGACCCCGTTCTTCTGGCTCTAGAGCCGCTTTCTGGAGCTCATGCAGGAGAAGGCAGATTTAAAGGAGCGGGTAGAGGAACTGGAACACCGCTGCATCCAGCTCTCTGGAGAGACAGACACCATTGGTGAGTGGGAGAGGCCAGGGCCCATGGCAGGGGAGCTGCGCGGTGGGTCGGGGAGCCCCAGCATCTGAGCCCTGTCCTCCTGTGCACCCTCCCCACAGGTGAGTACATTGCTCTGTACCAGAGCCAGAGGGCAGTGCTGAAGGAACGACACAGGGAGAAGGAGGAGTACATCAGCCGGCTGGCCCAGGACAAGGAGGAAATGAAGGTGGGGGCCCTGGACATCTCTGTGGGAGGGGCTCGGGCGGGGCTCAGGCGCTAAGCACCTCTCTCTCCAGGTGAAGCTGCTGGAGCTGCAGGAGCTGGTGCTGCAGCTTGTGGGCGAGCGCAACCAGTGGCAGGGCAAGTTCTTGGCAGCTGCCCAGGGCCCTGCTGATGAGCCCACTCCAGTGTCTCCAGCCCCTCAGGAACTTGGATCTGCCAACAAACAGGGAGGTGAGTCGGGGCCGGCCTGTGGCTCACTCGGGAGAGTATGGTGCTGATAACACCAAGACCATGGGTTCAGATCCCATATAGGGATGGTTGGTTAGCTCACTGGGTGAGCATGGTGCTGACAACACCAAATCAAGGGTTAAGATCCCCTTACCGGTCATCTTTAAAAAACAAAACAAAACAGGGAGGTGAGTGGAACCCTAGGGAGGTGGGCACGCAGGTGGGCAGGAGCAGGGGAGTGCTTGTCCGACACTCAGCCCTGCCCCCTTCTCTCCAAAGATCTTTGTGAGGTGAGCCTCACTGACAACGTGGAGCCAGCACAAGGACAGGCTGGGGAGGGATCTCCGCCTGAGAATCCCACTGCACAGCAGATCATGCAGCTGCTGCGTGAGATCCAGAACCCCCAGGAGCGCCCAGTCTTGGGCAACAATCCCTGCATCCCCTTCTTCTATCGGGCAGACGAAAATGATGAGGTCAAGATCATGGTTATCTGACATGTGGGGCCGGGGGCTCTGCCCCCACCCTGTCCCTGCCACTCCTTCCCAGTCACCTCTTTATCCTTAGAACATTAAGACCCTGTTTAAAAAACAAAAAGAAAAAAAAAAAAAAAAAAGATCATGCAGCTGCTGTGTGAGATCCAGAACTCCCAGGAGCGCCCAGGCTTGGGCAACAACCCCTGCACCCTTTCGTCTATTGGGTGGATGAGAATGATTAGGTCAAGATCATTGGTTGTCTGACATGTCAGACAAAGCCCAAAGAAGTGGGGCCAGGGGCTCTCTCCTCATGCAGTTCCTGCCACTTCTTCCCAGTCACCCCTTTACAGTATTTAAGACCCCTGTCTAAAAATGAAAAAAAAAAGAAAAAGAAAAAAAAAGACCCTTGTCTAATGTGGGGACACGAACAGGTGCAAACCCTTTACCACCCTGGCCAGGTCTGATGAGGCAAGACAACAGGGCAGCTCTAAAGGCAGGCCAAGACAAGGGCATTGGGGAGGTGGGGCCCTAGTGGTAGGCCAGGCCAGAGGGGGCCTTAGTGGCAGGCTAAGTGAGGTCAGTCTTCCTTCTGGGGGCTCACATCTTCCTGAGAGGCACTTTGGGGCAAGAGAGCCATGCAGCAGTTTCCTGGGCCTTCAAATAGTTGGGGCTAGGTGTCAGCCAGTGAGGACTGTCAGTGCGGGCGGTCCTTCCTTCAAGTGGCTTCCATCCTCTCTCTCCAAGGCACTGAGGCTGGACCACCAGGCAGCGTTCTTTCTGGCCTGATGACAGTTGGGGCCAACTGTAAACGAGGTGTGGGCACAGGCTATTGGGGGGTGTGCTTCCCCTCCCTTAGTGTATATATTGTATCTGTGTAACATTTTGTATATTCTGGGGCTAGGGCCGCCCCCTGTATCATAGCAGAGGTTGGAGCTAGCACATGAGGAAGAGGTTCTAATAATTATTTGGGGCTGGGAAACTTATTTATTGATAGCACAGGACAGAGGAAGGAGGCGGGGACAGGGCTGTGGTGCCCTGGTGATGCGGCTCCTGTTTATTTTCCTTTTTATTTCGGAATAAATGGATTTAGCCATACTGCTTGGCCTTGCATGTTCCCGTTTCGCTCTCTGGGTCCTGGGGTTTGTGCCACTGAACAGGAGCAGGTCCTGCCAACTGGCAGGACTCTGCGTTGTGTGGAACCCCAGAACGTCTGAGCTCCAGTGTCTGAGCATGTCCAATGGGGCTGTTAGGGATCTTCCAGGCCTGTCTCCTGTATGCTGCTTGGTGAAGCTTGGGGAATTCCTAGTGGACTACAATGGGGGTTGTAGGGGGCGGTCCGACCCTAACAGCCAGCAGTCTCAGAAGCCGGAGATGGTGGGGAGGGAATGCAGGGGTCAGCATCCAAGAGTGCTGACTCCCGGTCTAGGCCTTTTCCATTTTGTCTGCCCTGCCCCCCTCGCCAGGCTGCATCTGGTGGCCTGTTACTCCTGTCAGCCCCTCCAAAGCACCAGACCCAGGCCCACATCCTCCCTCCAGGCTGGATTCCTGGCCTTGCCCTCTAGTGGCCAGAGCGGGGGTCACAGAATGAAGACGAGCTAAGTTTCGGGTGCTTTCCAAATGGGCCTTGGAAAGGGTGATGCTGGGTCCCTCCTAAGTTTAAACACTCCCCCTGAGCTCCACAGAGAACACAAGCCAGCAGAGGACACATTGTTCCCTGTTGTTCAGAAATAGGTTTTATTCTCAGCCAAGAGACAGCAAGACTGGTAGCAGAGAACCACACAGCTGCCAGTACAGCACCCCCATGCTTCAAGGGGGGCAGGAGAGGTGGCAGAGGAAGGCTGGCTGTCCACAGGCCGGGCATGACAGGGAGGCTCACTGGAGGTGGCACGCTTTGGAAGGGGGATGTCAGGGTGATAGCGTTCCCTTGTTGTAGGGCCACAAGACTCCACAAAGACGGCACGTTGATTGGTTTCCAACACTAGAGGTGAGGCCGGGTCAGCCATATATATGTATATATGTATATAAGTATTTATAGATATTTATAGAACAGGGTGGGAGCAATACCACAGAGGGGGTACAAGCTTTCACCAACATCACGCTGGGATGTGTCAGCTCACCACTATGACAGACTAAGTCACAAGTGAAGGGGGACGCTTTGGGGCTGGGGGAGCCACTGTCAAGTCACAAAACAGCCGTCCAGGCAGGCTTGCAAAGGGAGGTCTCCAAGGAAGAGGAGGGATCTGGTTAGAGGTCGAAGGGGGGCCTGGGGCTCTCAGGACGGGATGGACTTGCCTGACCCGATCGGCTGGCAGTTGGAGAGAAAGCAAAGAGAAAAGAGGAGAGAGAAAGAGAAGGAGAGAGCTGGTAAGGCAGAGCCGCCATGCTGTGGCAGCAGTGGGAGGGGACGGGCACAGGAAGAAGACGCAGGCGTGGGTGTGGGTGAGGTTTCTGGAAAAGAGACAGACAGGCGAGGGAAGGAAGATGGAGGGAGGAGCTGGAGCTAGGTGGGGCCGGAGCCTCACGGGCAGTCTGGGTGGAGGCTGGGGTGGCCCTCCCTCTGCCACACACGCTGGCCTCTCACACAGCACCCAGGCAGTGCACCCACAGTTCCAGACACCTGCCGGGCCCCCTCACGCTTCCCTCTTCTCTGGTCACCCTGTCTCCCAACCCACTGGCCCAGAGCCACCCCAAGCCATGGGGAGCCCCACACAACAGCCACCAGGCCTGATGGAGAAAGACAAGAGAAAGAACACTGCTTGAACCAAGAGGGTGAAGCTAGAAGGGATGGCTGGAGGGAGCACTGGAGGCCCCTCTGGGCAGTCAAAGCCCAGGAGTCCTCTGAAGGGACTCTGGGGGAGGCAGGGAAGGCAGGCAGCCAGATGCCAGTGGCCACAGACTTATAAGTCTAAGAGGGGAGCCTCAGCTGGTCGGGGGGCTGCAGGTCGCGTAGGTGAGGCTGGGCCTTTCCTGCTGGGGAAAAGCAGAAGAGCGACAGTCAATGGCCAGGGAAGAGCAACAGGCAAGCTCACTGGGCAGCACCTAGAGAAGCTGACGTGCCCAGGTCAGCAGACGCTGTCATCCCCTTGGCTGAAAAGCATCAGTCATCCCTAGGAGAAACAGGCCAAGGTGCATGAGCCCACAAGCTGACTACGGTGCTTCATCTGGGGCTGAACATGCTGTCTTCAGTTGCACACTAGCAGATGACAATACCAAGGAGGTAGGGAAGGGGGCTGTGTGTCTCTGCCTTATCTGAGATGTGTCAGGGGCTGACAGTGTATATGGGACTCCCAGGTTTTCAGAAATCATCAAGCAACCAGAGCCTTTGCCCCAGATCACTACTCACTTGCCAGCATGATAGAGGAGGTGGGACCCTGACTGTCACCCCTGCCCTGCTGCATATTTGCTTTCCAGAGTTCCCAGGCTGGGAGCTGGATGCCCTGCCCAGCAGCACGGCTCAAATCAGAGAATGGGTGTGGAGCACTCAGGATGAAGTTCGAAGGCCTCTGGCCGCCTTGGAGTTCAGCCCCACCCACAACCCACTCCAAGTTCCCAGCCCCTATACCATAAACCATGAGCTCTCTGCCCTTTCTGATGGCTCCAGAGAGCACCCACGTTGGCTTGGGTGTGGAGCCTGTCCCAAGAACCCCCAGGCTCAGCCATGGAGGCCTTGGGCAGTGGCACTGAGTCCCGAGGCTCACTGGGAAGGGAGGTGAGAGAGCCAGTTGGCACGAGGACAGAAAGAGGAAAGAGGAAGTCTGGAGCTGCAGGAGGGAGCAGGAGGGGAGCCTGGCTCTGAGGTCCCAGGTACGCCCCCAGTGTGGAGCTGGTGCAGTAGGGGGCAGACACACCGTTCATGCAGCAGGCGGAGAGGCATGTACCTACCGTGGCTGACGCTCCTCAGGGGTCACTGATAGTGATTCTGAAAGACAGCACGAAATCAACATGGCAGTTCACACGCACGGGTGGGGTAAGCCTGGGGGCAAGGGACACGCACACGCACACACCCGGGCGTGCACACACATGCTGTGAGGCCCCATGGCCTTGCGTGCACACGCTAACACACATGCCCACAAACACCACGCATACACCTCCTTCCCCCCACCTCCCAGTGCCCAGCACCCTCATTGGCCGGCACGTGCAGCACGGGCATGCAGCCACTCGGCACACAGAAGCACACGCATGGGCTGAGTCACAATACAGAAGCTCGCCCGCACACAGAAGGCATTTGCACCAGCTCCCTGCATACTCGTGCCTGGCATGCTCAGAGGACCACCGCACTGCTCCATAAGAGACGGGGCTTGCTTTCTAGGGTTCAGCTTTCATTTCTCTGCCCAAGAGCCTACCATAGCTCCCTACTATCTATAGCATTGAGCCCCCCAAAAAGTCAAACTGTTCTGTGAACTCTGAAGGCTCTCCAACCTGCCCCGCCCTAACCATAGAACTGTTCCTCATTCTAGCTGTACTACTCTCTGCTCTGGCCAGCGGCTCTCCTCAATGCATCCCACACTATACCTCTGCCCACAATGCTGCTCCCTATCTAAATGCCCTCCCGATTCCTCACCATCTGAGCCTGATCCCAATTATGCCCCAGATCTCACTGAAGTCAGGCTGCCTTGAAGAAGCTCTCCCAGACTGCTCTCTTCCCCGAGGCAGGGCCATGACTTGCCAAATGTTCCCCGTGTGTTTGCAAGACTGGAGTTAGAGCAAGTATCAAATCTTACAGTCCCATATGTCACTCCTCAGCATAGACCTGGGAATGTCAAATACCCTTAAGAGTCTGAACTCATGTTGGCAGTTAACAAAGTGTCCTATAGCCACATTTGCAGTTAACGCAGCATCCCTATGGCCACTGTCTCCCTTGATCCCCACACCAACCTTGGGAGAGAATGTTAATTATCATTTGATAGAAGGAAACGGGCCCTAGGAGGGAAAGTGACTTGCCTAAAGGCCCAGGGCGAACCAGCATCTCTGGACTCCCAGTCCAGTGCTCTTGCCCAATACCGTACTGCTGCCTTTACCCCATCTGCTTTGGTCATCAGATGACCACAGAGCAAGCCCCATCCCTGCTTCATTTTGATTTATGGAGGCTAGACCCACAGCCCTGCCCTCCAGCCATCAGGAAACATAAGCAGATGCTATTGTTCTGATATGTTCTTCAGAGAAAGTGGCCAGTGGAAACAGGGGAGTTAGATATTGGAGTGAATTTCTTTGAAAGAGGATCATAGATAAAGAAGGCAAAGCCAAAGGATGAAGTAGAATCCTTATCTCTGGAAATATCTGGGAATGGGGCAGCCTTCATGCCCTCCTGCCCCTGCCCCCACCTCCACCACACTGGTCCAGGCCAGATAGGACCAGAGGCAGTGGGAAGGAAGAAAGCGATCAGATTGCCCCAAGCCTCCAAGACCCCTTCCCCAGCTGTTTGCCTGGCCTACCCCATGCCTGGGTGCCACTCTTACACGCTCATACCCGTGTGCACGCCCACACGCACATCACACACCTTGCTGGTCACACAGTCACAGCCTGGCCTCTTCCTGGGGGCCAGAGGCCGGACACTCCAGTGGGACAACTTAAGAGTTAGGACTGGAAAATGGGGGCATTAGGGTAGCCCTGAGTGGAACTGTTTGTTTTTGTTTTTGGTGGCTGGCCAGTACAGGCATCGAACCCTGGACTTTGGTGTCATCAACACCACCCTTTTACCAACTGAGCTAACCGGCCAGCCTCTGAGTGTAACTGAACAAAATCCACACATCCAGAGAGGACCTGGGTTCAGACCCTCAGACCTGAGGTAGGCTCTCCAGGGGATGGGAGAGAAGTTGAGGAGGGAATGAAGAATGAAGGATGTAGGGGAAAGGAGGAAAAAAGCAATGAGTGAAAGGCGGCCAAGAGTGAGAAAAGAGGGAAGCGCCATGCAAGTGCTAGAAAGAAGGGGGCAGGTGGAATGAGCCCCACATCCCCCTCCCCAGAAACGACCACCTCCGGGACTCAGCGCTCCCTGGGGGTTAGGCTCTGCCAGCCCTCGGCCACATGTCCTGGGATGGAGATGGCAGGCTCTGGCTGCCAGGGCCGAAGTTCTAGAATCCGGCCCCACCTCCCTTCCGGCCACGCCCGCCCGGCGGCCTCTCCCGCCGCACTCAGCCCCCACTCACCTGGGGACCCCGGGCGGAGCACGGTTGGGGCGCGAGGGCACCTGGGGGGGAGGACCGAAGGGGTCAGGGGAAGCCCCCGGCCTGGAGGGCACGGGGGGCGCCCCCCCCAGGGCGGACCCAGCAGGCGGAGGCCCAGGAGCAGGGCCCCGCGACCCGGGCCGGGCTGGGGGCACGGCGGGGGCTCGGCGCTGCGGCGTGGGGCTGGACGTGGGCGACCTGCTGGAGACAGAGAGCCGAGGGCGAGGAGAGGAGAGAGATTGAGCGGCTCCACCCCAGCCAGAGGCTCCGCCCCCAGTCCAGTGCAGGCCCCGCCCATGCACGCAAGCCCCGCCCCACCGCGCCGCTTGGTGATTGCTGGAGCTTAAGCCCCGCCCCAGCGGCGCCAACGTTCCAGCTCCACCCGCCCCGCAGCCAGCGCTTCATGGCAAGCCCCGCCCCGCGACAAGCCCCGCCCCTCTCTAAGCTCCGCCCCTCGCTCCAAGTGGGAGCCGCCCCGGTGACGCGGGCGCGCCACTGCCCGGTCCCGGCTTTCCTCCCTCGGGCCCCGGGCTGGGGGGCTGTGGGGCCGTGGGGGCCTGCCCTGGTACCTGCGTCCGGCCGGTACGCTCTGCACCTGCAGCCAGGAGTCGTCCACGGGCGGGGGCATGGGCGTGCTGACGGTGGTCGTGTTGATGTCGCCAATGATGCTGAGCGCTTCCTTCAGCGCGTGGTACATGCGTAGCATCTCGTCGCGCCGCTGCGCCTGCTCGGCCGATTCCTCCATCAGTGTGTTCTGGTCCCCGCACGAGTACAGGTTGGCCAGCAGCTCCGAGAAGATGAATTCCTTGGTCTGCGGACAGGCGAAGAGGGGAGGGGCTGGGACCTGACGCCTGTGCCACCCTGCCCACCCCGCCTGGCCCTGCTGGGGGTGTGCGCTGGACTGGGAGTCTGGAGTTCTTTGTTTCAGACGTGGCTCCGCCATCGCCCGAACTCGGAGGTCCCTCACACTCGCACCCTTTTCTCACATGGGGACATTTGGGTCCAGAGAGGAAAAGTCATCTGTCCAAGGTCACAGATCTGGGAAGAGACTCAGACACCAGGACATCATGTCACCAGGACACCTGCCTATTGTTTTTTTGAGACTTGGTTTCCTCATATTGGTAAAATGGGTAACTACCCTTTTCAAGGACTTGCGTGCTCTAATGGACCGAAATAAGAAAGATGACAGTTTAAAATGTTCTAAGCCCTTAAGAAAGGAGAGTAACAGCTGTAAATGTGTGCCTGTAATGGGTGAAATGTGTCTCTGTCTGTAGGGCTGGGTTAACGTTCTCCTTAACGTCCCCAGGTATTACCCTGCCCAAGCTCTGGGAGATTCATGCAGAGATGATGAGGTTTTTTTAAAACCTAGGCCCAAGTCTCATTTATTTGTTATTCAAATGAGCACCTACTATGTGCCAGGCACTATGTTGTCACACACTATACATGCATTTAATCCTCAAGTCTATTATTATCCATATTTTATATATAAGGCAACAGGCTCAGAGAGGGTAGTTCATTTGCTCAAAGTCACACAGGGAATTGGTACCAAAGCCGAGATTCAAACCCAGTCTACTTTCTGGGTGGCCATGCTTTTTCACTAAGTCACAAGTTCTGGCGGTGCTGTGAGGTAAATATTTCAAAGCATGGTTTTGGGGTTCTCAAAAGATGAAGATTCCTGGCCACTCCTGGAAAACATTTAGGCATGTTTAGAACAACTTGAGTATGAGAATCTACATTTTCAACTGTAAATTTCACAAAATCTAAAACAGGTTAAGTATTTCCAGTGAAAATTTAATGTCTGAGTTGGATTTGGAAAACAGTATGAAAAAAAGTATGTAAAATATCTTAATATTTTTTAGATTGATTAAATGTCAAAAAGATAACATTTTGGATATATCGGTTTTAAAATATATACTATTAAAATAAGTTGAGTTTTTTTTGGCAGCTGGCCGGTATGCGGATCCGAACTCTTGACCTTGGTGTTTAAATTTTGTTTCTTTTTCCTTCTCTTAACATGGTTACCAGAAAATGTTCTATTCTATTGGACAGCTCTGGTCTGGACCATGCCTCCCTCCCTAGACCTGGTTCCATAGGGCTGGCCACGTCTCCCCCAGGCCCACCCGGCTGCCTGCCTCCCTAGTCCCACAGGAGCACCCTGTCCCCCATGCAGCGGTGCACGCACGTTGTTGATCATGAGGTGCATGATGGTCTTAGGCATGAGGTCCCTCACAGTCTTGTTGACAATGGCCATATACGAATCCACCAGGTTCCGGATGGTCTCCACCTGCCGTTCCAGCTGTGGGTCCATGGAGTGCATGAAGTTGTCTGAGCCATTCTCTTCGGTCTCGCTGGCCTGCCGTCAGGAATAGAAGGGCATCAGGGTGGCCAGGCCTGCGTAGCCAGGCTCCAGGCACACCAGGATCTCAGCCCCTCCAAGGGTGCCTGGAAACTGAGGCACAGAGAGAAGCAACTGGCCTGAGCACACAGACACCAGTTCCCTACATGCTCTAGAGGAATGCAGCACTCTGCCCACCCTTGTTCTTCTGAGGACCCTAGACTTCCCTCATTCAGCCTTGTCTAGGCTATAACTCTAGTGCTTAGTATTTGCCTCAGTTTCCCAATCCAGAAATTAGAACAGAACATCTCCAAGCTTCCTGCCTGAAGACCTGGCCAGAGCTGGTGCCGGGCTGGAAACACCTGGGAAGCAAGGGAGGGGCACACTCACTTTCTCCTTGTCCTGGGAGGCCCACACCAGAGCCACAGAGGCCACCACACCAGCATTACCACCGTCGCCACCACCAGGGAGCACAGCCGAAGCAGACACACACAGAGAGGAAAAAGGGAGGGACTGAGTGAATCCAGGTGCTGCACCTCAGTTCTAAGGCAACTCTAAACATTGCCACAGTGAAAGGGGAGAAAAGAGAAGGCGGTCACAAGAAACCACCATCATGTCAAGGGGGTGCAGGAAATGCCATCCGTGGCAGAGAAGGGGACACACGAAACTGCTGTTGGAGAAGGATGGGAGGACCAGAAGGCTTAACTCTGATCCCACCTCAGGGCAGGTAGTGGGGAGAACTCCTATTATTTCTGAGCCAAATAAGGGCTCAGAAATACGTCAGGACTTGGCATCACTGAGGGTGGTGCTGCAGGGCCAGCTAGTATAAGCAGCTCGCCCCTCCCCTCCTTGCCCTGCCACTCACCCCAACGCGCTCGGGGTACACGCCAGCCCTCAGGAAGGAGGCCTTCCAGCTGTCCACCTCCTCCTGTGTCTCACAGGCCAGTTCCAGCTGCCGATAATCCTTGTAGACGTTCCTGCAACACGGGGCAGGCGGTGAGGGTAGAGGAGGCAAAGCCCCACCCTCCTTAGGGGCTAAGGGCATCATGGATGGGCTTCGGGGCATCACATTTGGGGTCCAGTCCTGGCTTTCTCATTTCCCAGCTGTGTGAACCTGGCAAGTCCCTTCCTCTCTTTAAGGCCCAGTTTCCTAATCTAGAAGATGGGTCAAGAATAATTCCTGCCGCCTAGGGTTATTGTGATGATTTGGTGAAATGAGCAGTAAAATGCTCAGAAAGTGACTGAGCCCTCAATAAAAGGGACATCCACAAGACAGTGCAGCCCCCTGGCTTGGGTCTCAGATCCCCATGAGCTCCCCTCCCAGCGCTCCAGGGACTCCCTCGATGACAGCTGTATTGAACCCTCATCTCTTAGTAGAAGGGAGCCTCCTAGGGTCAGCCTTGAACTGGGAAGTGAGAAGCCTGGTTCTGCCACTGGCTCCATGGGAACCTGAGCAACACCAGAAGGAGATCAGGACTCACTAGGGCTCTTCTTTGTCCCCACTGCCTGGCAGAGTGTCTCATGCAGAGCAGGCACTAAACAAGTGACTGTGGGAGGGAGGGAGAGAGGGAGGGAAGAAGGAAAGGAAGGAGGAAGGGTAGGGGGGAGGGAAGGAAGGAAGGAGATCTTGATACAATGTCTAGCACAGAGTAGGAACTCAATAAATATTTGTCAAATGAATGGCTGGCTCGGGACTCGGGGCAGGTCCCTCTCCTCTCTAGATCTGTGTACCCACTTTCTACTGGGTGATTTGAGGCTGGCGGGGTCAAGGGCAGCAGGCACCTCTGCTCAGTGTTAAAGAGGGCAAAGATGTGCTTGCTTGACATGAAGCCCTTCTCCACGTCCCGCAGCTTGAGGTTGTCCACGGACAGCATGTATTTCTTCTCTTTCTCCTGTGGGTAGAGGTAGGAGTGATGGGTGAGGTTGGCACTGTTCTCTGCCACGCCTCACTCCCTAAGAATGCTCCGTGCTGGTGGGCGCCAGGGGCTGTGGAGTCCCAGAGTGGCCCAGGCTTCTGGGTACCAGCCCCATCCCACTGCACAGGTGCTCTCCAATAAAAGCCTGGCCATGGAGTCCTGGGCCTGCTGGGCACTGCCAGCCCCCAGTGGCATTCAAGCTGGTCCCACTGCCTCTGCATATATGCCAGAGCCCAAAGTGCTGGCAAGAGGTGGTGAGGCTGAGTGTGGGTCCCACAGTCCTGCCCCAAGCAAGTCCTGGATGCAAGCCAGGTTGGGCCTAGGCAGGGACCGCACACTCAAGCCTCTCGCCCCCGGCCTGGCCGCCTCTGACTTCATTTCCTGACTACAGAGATAGGGAAGGGGGGCCACCAGCCCAGCAGCTTCAAAGGGCTGGTTCAGCCCACTCCCCCCATCCGCCCATGTGTTAGCAATCAGGCACACAGCACAAGCCTGGAGATGGTGTGTCTGTGTGTGCAACATGTGTGTGGTTGTGTCTTTGTGCAAACACATGCAAACCCAAGTATATCTCCTATCATCGTGTGTGTGCTCATGTGACTATATTGCACAGACGTGTGTATGTGCACCTGTGTCTGGGGAGGTGCCCAACACCACTGTGTGTTAGTGTGAGCATGTTTGTATGTCAATGCAGATGTGTGCACACTTCGTGGATGTGTGTGGCAATTGTGAATGCATGCGTGTTTGCATGAACGTGCCTGGAGGACTTGTACTGTGGGTATATATATTTCCCTGCATACAGTCTGTGCAATGGGCTGTATAGGTCTGGTTTATCTATAGTTGTCTGGGAGAAGTTCTACACATCTGTGGACAGGGATGTGGGGTGTAGGCTCATGTACACATATGTGTATGCTTGGTGTGGGCTGATGTGTCTGTAGGCTGCTGTGTTTGAGGGGAGAGGTCCAGGGATGTGGGGAGGAGGTACCCCAGGCAGGGGCTCTGGGAGGAGGGGAGGCGTTTCTGCTGTGTTGACCCACTTGGCCACCCAACACCACAGGACCTATGAGGGGGTCTGTGTGGGTTTCAGGGACTCAGAGAGCTTGGGCATGTGCCTGGCCTAGGATCTTACGTAGGGGACTAGGTTTAGGGGGACCTTGCTTCCCCATCCTGCAGTCACTCTGCCCACTCTCCTTGCCCCCACCCACACCCGCCTGGCCCATGCAGCTGCATAAAGCCTTCTTTATGCCAGGCGGGTGGCCGGGAGCCTCAGAGGGCGGCAGGGGGAGGAGAGGAGGAAGTTGCACACACGGCCAGGGAACATCTGGAACCGTTCGAGGGAGGCCCCGCCACCACCCGCCCTGTGCTTCGGGGTTGGACACTAGGTAGGAGCAGCCTCCTCCCCCCACCCCTCCCTTCCTGCTGGCCGGCCCCCTACTCAGGCCCCTCCTTCCCAGCCCGGGCTCCTGCTCACCCCTGCCACGTCAAAGAAGGCAGAAGGGGAGTCGGGAGCAGAGAGGGGACCACGGGCTGGCTGGGCTGGGGCTGGGGGGACACTGGGGCTGGGGGGACCTCGGATCTCAAGGGGATGGGGCCGAAACTCCCACCGGATGGACACTGCTGCCTGGATGGACCAGAGGACACCTCCACTCCGTCTACCCAGTGTTTAGACTATCTGTTCAGGACTCCCAAATTGTACAGTAGTCTGCACATTGGTTAGGCTGGGCTGGGTTAGACCATCGGCACCGCCGCTGGAGAGCTGGACCGATCCCCACCTGCCAACCCAGAACTGGAGCCTGGAGCTGGGGCAGGGGGTTTGGGGGGCACAGGGTGGGCTGGGAGGAGGCCGCAGAGGGATGGGGGACTGGTGGCAACAGCAGTGGGGATGGGGGGAGGGCGGCAGAGGAAGACTGAGAAGATGGGGGGATCATCGGGGTCTGGGGTTGTGGGCAGCTGCCTGTCTGTGCAGAGGGCCTCCCTCACCCCAAAGACCAGAGGGCTGGCGGCTGGGTGGAGGAGGTGGACAAACCACCCTCCCCCCAGCCAGACCACTTGCATGTCCCCAGCAGTCCTAGTGCAAAAATCCACTCACCCAACACACATGCACCTCCGACACCCACACCCTCACAACTCCGACACATACCAAATTTTAAATCTCATATCCATGTCCCCAAACAGACATGCACATTACAAGTGCACACGTGTGCACGCACACACATACACCCTCACAATGGAGCACTCCCCTCCCCCATCCTCACATCCTTAACAGATACACATATTCTCAAATATCCCACCTTCGCCCTCCATCCTCCAGCCCGCTCCCCCCACACCTACATTTACACCCCCAGTGTAGGCACACACGCTGAGAATCACACCTCGAGCACATACATGCTGCCCCCAAACACACACGCAGACCCTCAAATTCCAAGCACACCTAGATGCTTACATTCCAAACACACTCTCCTACAAAACACCCACACACAACACTCACAAGCCACACTCACACGCACACAGGTACCCCCACCTCCTAGCCCTCACTGCATGCGCCCCACCACGTACACGACTCAGAGCTGGTTTCCACACACAACTAAACTCAAATGTACACACAAAGCTCACTAAAGGCCCACACACCCAAGTAAGGGGACACTCGTCCTGCCCCCCACCCCCAGCATGGTCAGTTTTGGGCCCTCAGCCCTAGGTCACAGCCCCCTGGTCCTGTGATGAACCCAACAGAAGACCACCAGACCCATGGGGGCATCTAGGGAGCCTGCCAGGGTGACAGCACAGGAAGCAACCCCCACACCTTTGCCCCATGCCACCTCACACTCCATCCTTTCCAGGGGGCCCCCGTGCTCGGGAGAAGCCAGCGTTGGGTAATGAGGTCCAGATGGCTTGGCGCCCCTGCCAATGACGACAGAGGGCCCCGCCCAAGGTAGGAGGTGGGGTCCCTGCCCAGGACAGAGTTGGAGGAGACAGGGACCAAGGAGGGGGCTTGGAGACTATAGTCACTGGCCCCTACGCTCAGCTCGTTGCCCCTTGAGAGCCCCCTATCCTCCAACAGCCCCCTCAAGAAGGAGAGAGTCCCTTCCCCCACTCTTTGGCCAGCTGGAGTTCATTACCACAAGCCCCCCCCAACCCTCCCCATTCTCTCTGGTCACCTCTGGAATCCAGATGTGGAAGCCAAACAGACTCATTCTTAAAGGAGACCAGCATCAGGGGAGGGAGGTGGCAGCGGGCTTCCGCATACCCTGGTGGCCGGGGAAGGGTTTTGTGTGGTGGCTGTGCAGGGCACCATCAGTCCTTGCTCTGTGGCCTGGAGGCACCCTAGGTATCTCCCTTGGACTGCAGGGGTTTAGGGGACTGGGGTGCAGGGGTTAACCGGGTGTCTGGCAGCTGGACTCGTGTGTGTCATGGGCCTGTGGGGCCATGGAGGCGGCGGCACGCCCTGGAGCAGGAAAACAGGAAGGCTGCAGGCCGGCAGGGTCAGGGAGGGGCACTAGCACCCCTGCCCACCCTCTCCAGGGCACTCAGCCCCAAGCCCCTCAGTTCTGCCACCTTCTCCTTCCAACCTGGGTGGGAGGGCACCTCCCCCTGGGCACTCAGGATTGCCTACCTCTGATCCTTGTATCCCACCCACCTCCATCCATGAATCTTTGATGGGACTTCTAAAACCCCTGTTCTGTGGTCCAAGCCACTCTAAGGGTCTGAGCTTGACTCTGGCCACCAGACCGGCCCCTTGACAACCAGTGTCCCTTTACTCACCTCGTCATCCTTGTACCAGGACAGGTTCTCAGCAGTCAGCACAAACCAGTACTCCTTGGAACCCCCCTTCATGATGCCAATATTATTGATGGTCAGCCAGCCCTTCCGGATGACCTGGAGGGTGAGGGGGCAGGGTCAGTGGGTGGGGGCCAGGCGTACCTATGGAGGATGGGGTGGGCAAAGAGAGGCATTCAAAAGCCCACCCCTCCCCCAACTCTCAGAGGCCTGGCAGGTTGGGGATGGTGGGGGCTAGACCTGCCCTGGTTTGAACCACAAGTGGAAAGAGTAGAAAACAGAGGAAGGCAGAGGTCAGCTCAGGTTAAAGAGTCCTTTGACAGGCAGGGCTGTCTGAGTAAGGGACTGGCAGCCTGGTAGGGAGCGAGCTTCTCATTGCCAAAAGTGTGCAAGCAGAGTTTATGTGGCTGATTGGGCAAGACACGTCGGGGTGTCTTTTCAGTTTAAGGTCTGATCTATTCTGAGACTTGTTTCTGACCTCAGGGACTTTGTGCCTGCTGCCATTGCTTCTGCCTAGAAAGCGCTTTTCCTCCCTTTCTGCCTGGAAAATACTAGTCACCCTTGGGTATCAGCTCAGAATTCACATTCTCAGGCAGGCCCTCCCTGGCCCCCAATAGAAATCAAGATCCCCATAATAATCTTTGATCATTCTCTTAAGTCTTCTTCTGTAACAATGACAGATTCTTAATCAATTTCTCTCTGTGTATGTATGTGTGTGTGTGTGTGTGTGATTATACATTCTCCCCTGCTAAACCGTAAACTCTTTTGTTCACTAATACATCCCCTCACCCTGCAGAGTGCTTGGCAGACAGTGAGCAGTCAATAAATACTTGTGGCAAGAGAAAATGAATACTATATGAATATGATTCTAAGAGTCTTTGGCCCCAGGCCCCCTGAGGCAGAGACATGAATTACCCAGGCCCTTCCTCCAGGGGAGAGCTCAGAGTAATATGCAAAGGACCCTTTTCACAGCAGGAAGCAGCTGTCTCCAGAACTGTCCTGAGCCATCACCACAGACCAGGGCCTGTGGATCCTACTCCAAGGGCAGAGTCACTGCCCAGCCCCGGTGGTGGGTCAGACTGAGAGGACAAGGGAACTGTGTCTGCTCCCTCCCCCAGCTCCCATCCCCAGCTTCTTCTCTGAGCATCCAGAAAAGACCAAGGAAGCAGGGGCTGGCTGCAAAGCCCTCTGGGTCCAGGCTTGCTTCTGAGGCCCTCAAAGCCCCGCTTCCCCATTTCTGGTTTCCCTGAGCACCCTGCTGAGAACCCAAGGCACACAGCTAATCAGCAGCTGAGCTGAGGGGACACTACAGCTGCCTTCGCCAGTTAACAGGGACACAGAATCAAAAATCCCTAGATCCTTCCCCCATCCTGTCCTGGTCAGGCAAGGATCCCCTCAGTGTCTTGTCACCATCTTTGGACGCGTCCTCTCTCTGTCCCAGGATCTGACCAGGAGATCTAGCCCTGTTCCCTGACCTGACTTGCAGCCTTCATCCTCCCCTCAGCCATTCCCAGCCCTGATTCATCCCTGCTCATCCAGAGCCTCCCTCTGGAGCATCTGCACCAGGGACCTCCTGCTCCCCCAAATCCCACCCTGGGGCTCTCAGGCCTTAGCTGGGCCCTGCCTGCAGGCCCAGGTCTCCATGGAGCAGGGGCAGGGTCTGACTCCTGCCCAGTGCCAGCACAGTATAGGCACCAGCGAGTGTTGGCTGAACTGAACTGGCCTGAGATATTACATTCCTCCATTCCTTCCTTCTGTTGAGCACCTTCTGCATGACAGGCACTGAGCTTGGGGCTGAGGATTTAACAACAAACAAGACAGACTCAGGCTTCCCTTATAGGGCCTGGGAGGGAAATAGACATTAAGCCAATAAGCACACAAACACCTAGATTCTTACAAAGAAACTACGGCCTCTGGAACCTACAGAAATAAAACCCAAGGACCCTGGGCTCAAGTGTACAACTGGGGCTGAGGAAGGGCTCCTGATGAGTGATGTTTCTGCAGATGTCTGGAGGACAGAGAGCAGGACACCGGGTGAGGAGGGACTTGTCTCTTGACTTTTCATTCATCTCTTTACTCAACTCTCTGCTGCAGATGGCTGTCCACTTCTTACAAGCATGTCTCTCTCATAAGCATCCACCTATCCATCCATTCATCCACCAGATGTTTAAGGAGCACCTTCTTAGTGCCAGGCCCCTACCAGGCACTTTGCCCACCCAACCCCACATGCTAGCTCTGCCTGAAGTAGGTGCTTGAAGCGTACATAATAATGGACCGTGCCATGTGGAGACCGGTTCCTGCTCACTGGCTGAGCGCGGTGCGGGCGCAACACCGAGGGTTGCGATCCCGTTGCCGGTCAGTAAAAAAGACAAAAAAAAGGAAAAAAAAAAAGACTATTGGGGCCGGCCTGTGGCTCACTCAGGAGAGTGCGGTGCTGATAACACCAAGGCCACGGGTTCGGATCCCATATAGGGATGGCCGGTTTGCTCACTGGGTGAGCGTGGTGCTGACAACACCAAGTCAAGGGTTAAGATCCCCTTACCGGTCATCTTTATTTTACCAGTAAGGGGATCTTAACCCTTGACTTGGTGTTGTCAGCACCACGCTCGCCCAGTGAGCAAACCGGCCATCCCTATATGGGATCCGAACCCGTGGCCTTGGTGTTATCAGCACCGCACTCTCCTGAGTGAGCCACAGGCCGGCCCCAATAGTCTTTTTTTTTTTCCTTTTTTTTGTCTTTTTTACTGACCGGCAACGGGATCGCAACCCTCGGTGTTGCGCCCGCACCGCGCTCAGCCAGTGAGCGGAAACCGTTCTCCACGTGGGATCCGAACCCTTGGCGGGAGCACCGCTGACCTCCCAAGTGGCGCACTCTCCAGTGCGCCACTGGGCTGGCCCATGACCGGTCATCTTTAAAAAAAAAATAAAATAATGGACTGTGGTTGGGACTGTGCATGTGGCTAGGCCTTGTCTGTGGCCTGAGAGTGGGTGAGGGACACCCACGTGCTGGTGTGGGTGAGCGGCTCAAGCCAAAGGGCGCCCTCTTGCCCCCCTGCAGATCCCCACTGCCGATAGGCACCCTCCTCCCCCTCACTACACAATCCAAGAGCCCCAGTCCTGGTACTCACCAGAATCTCATCCTGCAAAGAGGTAACCATAGCAATCACGAGAAGCATCGGGGAGAGAGGAGAGAGGGTTACTGAGGCAGAGTGGGAGGCTTGTGGCTGGCAGCTGACAGGCTCCCTGGCCCCCGTGGGACCCTTCCCTTGGAGGAGGGGGATCTCAGAGTATGGCGTCCATCCGGCACCCTCCATCCCTTGGGCTGGGGCCCTGGGGCCCGCTCACCTGGTTTCCTGAAGCCTTCTTCTTGTTCATCTGGTTACTCCTCTGCTGAGCACTAATATGAGAGACGGGAGGAGTCTCAGAACAGCTCCTCTCAAGAGGCCCAGCTCCACTGCCCACTGCCCAGTGGGCACGGGACCCAGAGGGTTAACCTAGCAGGCCTGGGCTCCACACACACAGACCCACGCACATGAGAGGTGTCACCTTCTCTGGCCAGGGAGCACTCACTTGGCAAAGCCTATGAAGTCCTCATGGTTGGTATTCATGTAAGCCAGCTCAATATCGATAAGAAGCATGACCTTCAAGGATACGTAAGTCAGTGGGCAAATGGAAAAGACACGACAGCGTTTTAAAATGCATCACAAGCTGGGAGAAAAAATACTTGAAGCACATACAGGAGGTTAGTATCCATAATAAATAAAGAGTCGCTACAATCACTAAGTAAAAGACAAAAGAAACACAACTCAAAATAGTCAAAGAACATGAATGGGTAATTCATAGAGGAAATGCATACAGTCAATAGGGATATGTAAAAAACGATCACCCTCACTTATAAAGAAATGTAAGTTAAAACAATGAGACCATTTTAAAACCTATCAAATTGATAATAAATATTGATAATGACCAATGTGGGCACAAATAAGTGGAGATGGATCTCTCATACTGTCGGTGGAAGTGTAAATTATTATCACCTTCTCGGATGGCAATTTGGCAAAATAACAACATTAATGTGTGCATATATTCTTTTTTTTTTTTTAATTTAAAAAGATGACTGGTAAGGGGATCTTAACCCTTGACTTGGTGTTGTCAGCACCACGCTCTCCCAAGTGAGCCACGGGCCGGCCTCATGTACCAGAGTTTTCACTGTAGAGTAGTTTGTAACAGAGAAAAATTGGGGACTAGCCAATGGCCATCAGAAGGTGAAATAGATTATTGTCCCTCCAACCAATAAAGTACTCCGAAGCTGTTCAAAAGAATAAGGACAGTTTCTAGGTTCTGTCATGGAAGGCACCCCGTTGCAAATTATTAATTGTGAAGGGATTTGTGATTGGATCGTGATAGGAGTGACTTTCTGGATGCAGATTGCTGGGTCCAGAGCCAAGCCCTGCTGCTTCCTGTGTGCCTCAGGTCTGTGATCTGTCCTCGCTGAGCCTCAAGTTCCACAACTCACAGGACTGGTGAAGACACAATGAGAGGAGGCAGGTCACATGTCTGACATGTAATAGGTACTCAACAGATGTTAGCTACTGCAATTATCTTTAGAGGAGAAAGGCAAAGATTTTGGTTTATGGTTTTTTATGATAAAGGATTATGGTTTTTTACGATAAAGATGGAATCTGGAGAGTGTGTGTGTGTGTGCATGTGTGTGTGTGTGTGTGTGTGTGTGAGTGCACATGGCTAGGACATGCCTGGAAGGGGTCACACAAAACTGTTAATAACAGTTATTTTGCAGGAGCGACTGGAGGTGGGGAAGAGTGAATGGAGGGGGACACTTACTTGTAATTTAGTCACTTCTACACTGATTGAATGTTTTATTGAGTACCTATCACTTTTGCAATTAAAAATAGACCAATAAGGATTTTAGAACATGGCATCAACAACAAAAATGTGAGCGGATTGAGACAGCACCATGTGGAGAAGGGATGTGTGCGGATAGGAGCTGGGAAGTGGGAGCCACGGGCAGGTGGAGGCAGAGGGATGGCAGAGCTGGGCCGGGAAAGAGGACCCGCCTCTGAGCTTCTCACAGCTCAGACACAGCATTCACTGACGATGTTTGAGACTGAATGATGAAGGAAGGAATACTTGGTGCGTGTTGACATAAAAGGAGGGGGGCGGCCATGAGGGGTGTAAGAGAAATAGCAAACAGACAGACAGAGAGAGGCTCAAAGAGATGACCAGAAGGATAGACTGCAGAAAGCTGAGAGAGCTAGACTGAGAAGGAAGCAGACGATGGGAATGTAAAATGGTACAGCCACTGTGGAAAACAGTGCAGTGGTCCCCAAGAAATTGAACAGAGAATTACCATGTGGCCTAACAATTCCACGTACATACCTAACAATTCCATGTACATACCCCGTGTACCCACGTACATACCTAACAATTCAGTGCATACCCAGAACAACTGAAAGTGGGGGCTGGAGCAGATATTTGTACATGCTTCACAGCAGCGTTATTCACAGTGGCAAAAAGGTAGACACAACCCACATGGATAGACAAAATCCATGTATATCCATACAGTGGAATGTTACTCAAGCATTAAAAAGGAAGGAGATTCTGACACACACTACATCCAACATGGATGAACCTTGAAAACAATATGCTAAGTGAAATAAGCCAGACACAAAAGGTCAAATGCTGCATAATTCCATTTCTAGGAGGGACCAGAGAAGTCACGTTCCTAGAGAAAAAAGGTGGTTCCCAGGGGCTGGGGAGGAGGGAATGTTTAAGCTAGTGTTTCATGAGGACAGAATTTCAGTTTTGCTAGATAAAGGCAGTTCTGGGGTGGATGGTGGTGATGGCTGCACAACAGTGTGAATGTGCTTAGAGCCATTAACTGTGCATGCAAAACTGGCTAAAATGGTACATTTCACGTTATGTGTGTTCCAACCTAATGAAAACGAGAGAGAGATGCAGACAGTCAGTATGAGAACAGGGAGACCGAGACTGAGACAGAAGAGACCCCAAGGACAAGCACGGCAGACCGGGAAGAGGGGGCAGTGCCGGGAGGCCCACCTGCTCCTTAGTGCGACCCTCGCGCTCCCGGATGTGCGTGGTCACGATGCGCTCCATCTCCTCCCGTAGTCTTGGGTACTGCTGGAGCTGGGGAAGGGCGGGAGGGGAGAGAGCCACGTACACTGGGGGCATGGGCAGGGAGCACCCAAACCCCACCCGAGTCCAGGGATCCAGGGGAGCGGGGTGGGCAGCACACACGGAATGCTAACCACGTGGGGAAGAGACCTGGGGTCTCAGGAAGCTGATGGCACCGAGCCACGGCCACCCCTTTCCCCCAGGTGTGGGTTCCAAATGGCAATTCAAGGGTCTTCCTGGTTTCAGGCCCTCTCCACTGGCCTAACTGGGCAACTCAGTGGGAAGGGGCAGTTCCCATGGGGAGAAACACCCTGGGGATCAGCCTGTCCCTGCCGCTGTCTTGACAGCAGCTGTCTTGGAAACAGAGCTGTAATATGGAGGCCTTTGTTGGGGGACTGTGAGCTCCCAAGGCTTTAATTGACCCTCAGAGCTACCCCTGGCCTTCCCCAAAGCTGGGAGGGACAGCCAGGTAGAGAATCAGGCAGGGAACGGCCTCCATATTCCTACCCGGGAGGAATCAGGGGAGGGCGGGGCCCAAGGTGCCAGTTGGCCTCCTGAGTCAGGCAGAGGACAGGCAATGCTCCTGGTCAGAGCAGGAGGCGGAGGGCTTCGGGGGGACCAGCAGTCACACCAGATCACAAGCAGGAGCCACAGGCACAGGCATGCGGGGGCGCAGGGCAGCAGGCACAGGCGGGGGTGCAGCAGCATGAGCAGTACCCCGCGGGGGGCCTGGCTGGACCCTGGACCCTCTCGGTGGACTCCACCCAGTCCCGCTTCCCCTTGCATGCCCCTGCCTGGCACCATCAGCCCCAGCCCCCATGCCCGGCTCCGAGCAGGCCAACCAAGCGGTCTCTACCCCACTCCCTTGGGATAGGAGCTCAGCAGCACCTATTTCCTCTCAATTTTTATTAACTGAGGCTGAATGAGAAGTTGCTCCAAACCCTTCCCTCTTTGCTTGTGGCCTGTGAATCTGCCTTCATCTAAGCGGGGTCTGGACAAAGCCCAGGTGACTCACTCTACTTCAAGGCTCTGTTGGCCATCACCTCCTCCAGAAAGCCTGCCCCCATTGCCAAAGAGTTGAGCTGGGGCCTTCCTGTGGCTCCCCCTCCACCTCCCCCAACCAACTGGGTAGTAATTGCCCCAAAGGTAGGGGTGGAGCAGGGCTGGGTTCCCTGCCAGTGCTCAGAGGGCACGTTGAAGGAAGGAGGGAATGAATGAAGGATGGATGTCTTTGCCCTCCCTGCCAGAGTGTGTGGACACAGGATCCTCGGCCCTCTGGTTCATGAACAGCTTTTTCTCAGGGAGAGAAACTCGCTGAGCTTCTGAGCCCACCCGCAGGGACGTCCAGTCTTGCTGGGCTGCCCTCCCCATTGGGGGTCCATGTGGGGCCCAGGTGGGGTAATGGAGGCAAAGCCAGGACTGCTCCTTGTTCCTCTTCCCACACCTGGGTCAGGCTCATCAGGTGGATTCCCCAGTGTGAGAAGAGAGCGGGGTATGGTGCGCCTGGGTCACAGGTGGTGACTCTGAGGGCAAGACGGAGGCCATAGAGATAGGGAGGGGACATCAGGAGAGGCAGGAAGAGGGGGAGGAAAGTGGTGCCCTGGATGCCAGCCCAAGACAGGCAGACGTGAGAAATGCCCACATCCCACCCATCCTGTGGCTGGGCTAAGGGTGTGGCTGATGTGACCACACTGATGTGGGACATGGGGGAGGGGAGGCCTGAGACCAGGGGCTTAAAACTGCTGACTGAAGGGGCCCAGTGGACCTCACTGCGCCACGAGGCTCCAGGATGGACTCCCACTCCTCATAGTCTCCAAATCTGAGCAGAGATTCAGGACTGAGTCACCCCATGACGCCTCCTCCGAGGTGGTCCCAAGTGCTCCCCCCCAGGTGGGGGTGTGGGGGGAGGCAAGGAGGGAGGAAGAGGGAGCAGTTTGCCAAAGAGCATGACCAACTCTCTCACTAACCGCCTGGCGGTTACGTTTCTCAAGTTTTCCACTCTTCACACATGACAGGGCAGCCCCAGCCCCTCTGAGTTCTGTTCCCTTTGAGCATCTTTTTCCATTCTGGCTGTCTCTGAGCATTTCCAGGACTTTTAGCCAATTTCTAAAATGGAACTTTTCTTGCTCAGTCCTTGGCTGAGTGGGGCAGTCAGACTGGAGCCCTCTGGTTTGGTGGTCAGGGACACAGCCCCTGGACCCACACAGCCCTGGGTTCAAAGCCAGCCCCTGCCTGCCAACACTCCTTAGAAAAGCAACTGGACCTCTCTGAGCCTCAGTTTCTTCACATGTAAAATGGGGTAGTAATGGCGCCTTCCCTTTCAGGGTTGTTGAGAGGATTGAATAGCATACCCCATGCCCAACATTAACCGCTAATTTCATTCAGAGGTGACAAGTCTAATCTCAGGGGCTGGCCGGTTAGCTCAGTTGCTTAGAGCGTGGTGCTGATAACACCAAGGTCCAGGGTTCGATCCCTGTACTGGCCAGCTGCCTAAAAAAATAAAATAAAATAAAAAGTCTAATCCCAGCAGGGCGAGGAGTAACTAGAGTTGAACTCTTATCAAACCTCTGGCAGGAGTAGCTTGCTAAGCTTAGAAAACTTGGGGAGGAAAAAATAAAGGCAAAGGTGGGTGAGTTTTGCCATATAAAGAAAAAATAATTACTGTTTATTAAATACATCAAAAATATTATTTTCCTCCTTTTAGATCAAAGCTTTTCTTTTTAAAGTTTTTGTTGCCCAATTTTTCTGCTCACAAAAATCACACAGACTTACTTTAAAAGACTTGAATATGACTAAAATTCAAGAAGGAGAAATGGAAAGATTCCTACGTTCCTTGCCCTCTTTCAAAATAATGGTTAGCAATTTGGTGAATATGCCTTTGGAATGTTATCATTCATATATATTATTTTTTCTCAAAAATACCATATGGTCTTTTCTGAAATCTGCTTCCCCCCACCCCCACAGTACATTGTGGAGGGACATGTGAATGTAAACAAATAATCTTGTCCCTTTATCAGCTATAGTATTCTATTGCCTGTGTGATGCTTTACATACTATCAATCCCCTCCCGATGAACTTTTAGGCTGTTCCCAAAATTTTACCATTTACATTACTGCTTTCCTTTTGGAATAAAATTCAGCAAAGTGTCCCATGGTTTTAAAATGTTTATATCTAGTAACCAATCTTTTAGGAATCTAAGGAAATAATCTGAGAGAAAGAAAAATAAAACTCTCTATCCACAAAGATGTTCATTGCCAGGTTATTTATAATGTTAAATAACTGGAGACTATCTAAGCGTTCACCAATAGGAGAGTGGTTAAATAAACCATGATAAGTCTATTCAATAAAATCTTACGCAACCATTAAAAATGTTTATATATAAACTGTGTAATAATACTCCAAAAAATGTAAGTTATTAAGAGAAAAAGCATGATGCTAATATATTCACAGTGTGATTACCTAACAAAATAAACAAAACAACATATAGAAAAAAAGATCTGGAGGAATATAAATTGGTGAAAACTTTCTGGAGGGTAATTTTACAGAAGTTACTAACACTGTGAATGCTATCTACTGACCAGGAAGTTCTATATCTAGAAATTTGCTCTAAAGAAACAAGAGGATAAGTACTACAAATACATCTATAAGGGTGTTCGCTGAAGTAAAAGCAAAAGAAAAAAAAGGAAAAAAAAGGGAAAAGAAAAAAGTTGAAACAACCTAAATGTTCATCAATAGGATATTGGGATATTGAATATATAAATCATGCCACACTGCTAACAGTGGAATACAAGTAAGCAATTAAAAGGCGTGAGACCAATCTTTCTCTTGCAACATGCAAGGATTCCACAACACACTGTTCAGTAGAAAAGAATGGAGACGATACTTATTTGAAAGTTGAAGATAAGGCAGATATGCTCCCCACCCCCTGGCATATGGAACTTTTTCAGATATAGATGAGACTGGGCTCACCCTCAGCGACTCTGATTCAGGCTGCTCGGGATAGGTGGGTGGCATGTGAATTTTGGAAAAGCTCCTGCAGGCATTCAATTCTCTTGCACTCCCTTGGGAAGAACTGCTTTAGACGACCTGACTAAAAATCCTCAAAATGCCCCAAAGTAGACAAATAGGAAAAAGGCATCTAAAAGGTTACAGACAACTTAAAAGAGGCAGACCCTGTCAAATACATATGGATTACTGTAAAGTGAGTAATCCAATATGCTTTTAGGCAAATTGGTTTTAAGTTAGGATAGATTTCCCACCCCAAGAGACCCTGACCTCAGATCCCTTCCCTTGATCTTCCTAAATCTGAATCCCACTCTGCTTTTCCTTTCTGAGACTCTGTTTTGTCATCTGTAAAATGGGGATAATAATGCTACCCGCTTCTCAGGGTTGTTGAGAGGATTACATCAGATGGTAAGATCAGTGCTTAACAGTAGGTGCTCAATAAACAGCTGCCATCTCCTCATCACAGACATTATTATTGATGGAAAGGGGCTACTGAGAATGCTTGGGTTGGAGCAAAGTCCTCTAGCAGAGATGGGGATCTGGAAGGATCGTGAGTACAAGTAGACCCAGGGTTAGAAGCTGGCAGGAAATACTAAAGCCAGGAATCATCAGGCCGGCATGTGCATCTGGGTTCATGTGGGTAGCTGAGAGGCTGCTAGGCCTGCTCAGGAGATGGTTCTGCCCACAGGAGGCCACGGCCACCAGGAAAGGATGGCCAGGCCCAGCCCCACCCAGGCGGCCATCATACCTTTTCGCTACACTTTCTGATGGTGGCCGTGAGCTCACTGACTACCATATCCACACATTTGATACTGGGCTCTTTGAGCTTCTGCACCTGCTTTTTCACTGTGGCTTCAAAAGCGAGGTCAGGTGTGAAGAGGCCCGTCCTGCACCCGGGGAAGAGGAGGGGACAGGAGGAAGAGCAGCCACGGACAGGGAGGAGAGTGACAGCCAAGCAGGGCCAGGGGCCAAGGGTGGGGGAGGATGGCACAGGCATGGGGGAAGAGAGAGACATCGACACAGAGAGAGAGAGAGAGAGAACAGAAGACAATGTGAGTGTGGACCGGGCCCTCCCTACCTCCACCCAGGGTTGGCACCTCCCAGCTGCTGCCAAGCATTCTCCAGAGCTCTGTGGGTATAGCTGGCAGTCTGAGGGACCAAGGCCCCGCTCTGAACAGACCCCTACTGAACTCAGGTCCTCTCCCCAGGGCTGCTCTCCCTCCTTCATTCCTCAGCAACACTAAGCCTGCCATTTCTCTCTTTCCCTTTGCCATCTTTGTCCACACCTTGGATCCTCCTAAAGAGCTGACCCAGGCCAGGACAAGACTGGGACCCCACCTACCCATCCTGCTCAATTCTAGGTTCCCCAATGCCCCCCGTTTTTGCTTCATCCTGACTCTAAAGCCCAGCACCATTCCCTACCTCCACTTGGGTTGCTGCATACAGTTGCTCAGGCTGTGCACTGCACAAATCCAGGGGGCTCCATTCTCATAAACCATGGTGCAGATAATGCCTCCTGGAGTTGCAGCATAGCAGCCTGACCCCCACTCTCCAGATCCATGTTCTACTCCTGCCCCCCTTTCTCCTCAAGGGGCATCCCTTGCCTTTCCTCCAAAGGGGTCTAGGGGTCTAGGGAAACTTGGCTCCAAAAGACAGAAAGAGAGAGAAGAGGAAAGACAGAAAGAATGGAGGTGGTGATAGAGGGGCCAGGGCAGTAGTGGGGAGAGGAAAGGAAGGAATGCTGGGGGGGGGCAGGTAGAATCAAGGAGCACTGGACTTGGAGTCCAAAGCCCCAGCTTTGAGTAACAGCTTTGTCACCACCTAGCTAATATGACCTTGGGCAAGTCACTTGATCACCTGAGCCTTAGTTTTTCCTGCTGTGAAATGTGCACCATCCTCCCTGCCCTGCCCTCCTTGTATGGTTCTGTGAGGCTCAGGTGATGGAGCACATGGGGGAGGGCTCTGTCCCTGGAAGGCTAGATGTGGATGGAAGGGAAGGGGAAGGCCCTGAGCAAGGCTACTGGGTGAGGGTGGGGTGAGAATGGGGAGGATGAAGGATAGTGGGAGTCAGGGTACCTGCTAGTCCTGGGTTCTCTGCACCCCTCTGGTAGAGAGCAGCACCCAAGAAAACTCCATACCTCACCTGTCTCCAGGGCTAAGGTTTCCCCAAGACCCCTCCCTGGAGCCCCCAAAGATGACCCACCTCTGAGGGCAGGGATAGGGCTCATGGTAACCCCAAGCCTTATTCTCTCTGAGCTGGAAGAGCTCCTGGTAGGCTCTCTGAGTAAACAGCCAGCCATCATACCTGCCTCGCCAATGTCCATCCAATTGCTTAGTCTAGGGCCTGGAGGCCAGGGGGTGGGTGAGGCCCCCTCAGAGAGTCCCCCTCTCGTGGTCTGTAGTGGCCTGCCTCCCCCACCCCGCTGAGGTCTGTACATGCTACCGAGGAGGCAGTGGGGGACGTGGGGCAGGAGCGCCTGGCAGCAGTGCAGCGTGGGGCAGAGGCGGGGGGCTGGCCCAGGCTGCCAGGTTACCTTCTTGGTGCACTGTCTAACGGTGCTGATTAGCTCCGAGATAACCATGTCCACACACTTGAGACACGGTTCTCGGATCTTCTTCACCTGCTTTTTCACAATGGTCTCAAAGGCCATGTCTGGGGTAAACAGCCCTGTTCTGAATGCCCAGAGTGGGAAAAGGGCACAGTGTCACAGGCCAGTGCCTGCCAGGAGTGTCAGGCCAGGGCCCCTCCCTGAACCACTGAGCTCTGTCCATGGGGTCCTTCCACTGCCTCTCTCTGGGCCTCAGTGTCCTCATCTATAAAATGGGCAGGAGGGATTCTAATGAGGGGCTTTCAATTGATGCTTTTTGGGGCAAAATAAAGTCTGCTTATATCTGTTGTAAGTGTCCTCCTTTCTCTTAAGAGTCTGTTCGTACAGAAGGTTCTATGGCCACAAATTCTTTAAAGCGTGCCAAACTGGGTTCTCCTCAAGAGCCTTTCCAGGAATAAAGCATTTTATTTTAAAACCAGGGGAGGGATTTTTTTCTGTATCTCCGCCAATATAGTTATCAGTATATAAATTCACCGCCAAACCTGCATGTAAGGAATTGAACCTGCATGTAAGCAGGGACATTTCAGTCTTGTTCACTGCCCAGCACATGGTAGGTGCTTTAAAATGTTCTGTAGGATGGATTTGATGAATCAACACAGTGTAGATCTGGATCCTGGAAGGGGGTCTAAGCTTTTAGGGAACAGAGACTACTTCCCAATCCTCCTTCCTGCTCCTTGGTCCTTGGGGTTGCCTAGAAGAAGGCAGGTGGGGTGGAGTGGGACTGACTTTGGGCTAATGGGAATATGGAAGGGTCTGGAGGGTTGAGAAGCCCCAGCCCAGCATAAAGGAACACAGACCCATACCTAGCCACTCCACCCCGGGCCCTACCCAGTGGTTTGGACACCTATGCTCAGCCACCTGGATGGGACTTGGGGGGAGCTGTCTCACCCTGGGGATGAGCAGGGAACCCGGCCCTAGAGGGTGCTTCCCCAGCCACCTGTACTCTGGGCTCTGCCCTGCTGGCCCAACCTCCAAGCCCTGCTCCCCAGGACAGCAAAGGAGGCCAGCAGGCTGCAAGGAAGGGGGTGACCCAGGCCTCCCATCCACCTCCCCCAGATGTAGCCAGAGTTGGGGTTAAGGGGAGTGGGGACCAGGCTCTCAGAAACTTCCCGACGGAGGCCCACTTCATCACTCTCTGTGCCTCTGTGCTAGACCCTCCTGCTTTCTGGGGTTCAGCCCCCCTTCCCAGTCCCAATACATGCCTAATGCCGTGGATATTCTTGATGGCATAGCTGATCTCCCTTCGGAGCTCCTTCTCATCAAACTCCATCTGTGTAGGAGAGCAGAGAAGGATTGTCAGGGCCTGTCCCCATCAGGTGGGAGGTCAAGACAGAGCCCACCCCCCACTCAGGGCTGGGCACCAGGCCTCTGATGGACTCAGCAAAGGTACATGTCAGAGAGAGTCCTGGGTGGGGGTGGGGAAGTCCTGAGCCCTCCTGCCCCTGCGCTGCCTGTCATACCTTGACCAGCTCAAAGGGGAAGCGTTCATGGAAGATGCGATTAATGCGGGCTCCCCCTGACAGTTCATAGGTGTCGATCTGGTCTCCTGAGCCCTCAATGCGCTTCTCAAAGTCCACGGCGAACTGCTGGACCATCCTGGGGGGACAGTGGAGTGGCTTGAGGGGGCAGCAGCAGCCCAGTGAAGTGAGCCCTGGGGGAGTCCGTGCTGAGGATGGTGCTGAGAGGTAGGGGAGGGGTGGGGCAGCTCAGTGATGGGGGGTCAGGAGTGGGGGGGCCTCACTGCAGCAGGGCCTTGGTCTTGCGTGCTGGGTCATCAGGACGGAAGTTCTTGTACTCCTCCACCTCCTTCTCAATGGACAGCAGCTGGCTCTGCAGCTTGTTCCGCAGCCCCGGCAGCGTGTCCCGGATGTGGTTGGTCAGTTGCTGGGGGTGGGGGTGGGGGCAAGGAAAAGGTTAGTGCTCACAGGGCCCAGGATGCCAGGGGGCTGTGTGGACGTGGTGAGGTGGAGGCAGAGCTATAGCGGGCAGCCTCGGTCCTGCCCACTGCTGCCCTGGTCACCAGAATGAAAGCTGCCTGAGGGAAGGGTCTGGCCCTTAGTAGGTGCTCACAGAGGTGTGTATTAATTGAATGAACAAGTGCATAATTCAATTTTCAATATAAGCCAGAAATCTGGATTTGAATTTGCAATTACCTGATTTTGGACTAATTTAATATTTTTAGACACCATGGCCAACCCAAATGTGTCTGGGGCAGGAGTGGCAGGAGGGCTGCCCCCTGCACCTCCTGGATTTAAGGCCTATCTTAAGGTAATTCCCAACTTCTGGCACTCACTCTCGCTAGATTCCCCCCATCCCACAAACACACACAGTATCTCTCTGAACTTTTGCAACAACCCTATTAAATAGGATCTGATAACCATTGCCCCATTTTACAGATACAGAAATAGAGACTCAGAGAGCTGGAGAGAATGTCTTAGTGGGGGAGTGACAAAGCTGGCACTGGAACCCAGGTCTGTGGCACTCCCCACTACCCCTTTCTCATCAACACCCACACACCCACACACACACGCACACGCGCGTAAGCACGCCTCAGTTCTGGAAGCCCCGTTGCAGATGGAAAAACATCGTAGGGAAGCCCCTGGGATCACCCATCACCATCTCCAGATCAGCCTTTCCCCATTTCAGAGGGAACTAAGGTCTTCAGCCAAGTACACTCCAATCCTGGCCCCCGAACCCAGGCCGTTGTCAGTGCCACCCTCCACACAAAGTCTGAGTCTTCTCTATGTCTTAGGGAGTTCCAGGGCTCCCTTGCAGGTCCAGAGAGGGAAAGGTCAGGAAAGCTCAGCTGCTAAATGGCTGTGAGACTGTGGGCAAGTTGCTTTTCTTTTCTGGGTCTCAGTTTGTTCATCTGCATGATGGGGATGCTAACCTCTGCTGGTCTCCTCAAAACACACTTAAATTATTCTGTTCTAATGCTGGTTTCCCCAGGCCCCATCCTGGCCTGGTCCCCACCTGGTTGAGGACCTTCTGCAGGTAGGGTGTGCCCATGCGGTCAGCCAAGTGGCGGTAGGATGGATGGGAGAGAAAGAACTTCCGTTCAGCGGCCAAAGCAGCTGTGATGTCCTTCTTGCCATCAATGTCCTTCTGGCTCCGGTTCACCACCCCAATGTAGCCTGTGGGTGGGGTCAAGGTCACGGGCAATCAGCCTTGCAGGGATGGGAAGTGAGGGGAAGGGGAGGGGAGTAGGTCAGGAGAGTGGCCTGCTTACCTCTGCGCAGGGGGAGCAGCTTGTTTTCCAGCACATCTCGGGCATCTGTGCCCTCGTCCATCAGGTCCAGCTTGGTGATGACCCCGATGGTGCGCTGACCTGGGGGGCAGCAGGAGGGCTGTATACATCTGCATCCGCCAGTTGCACACACATGCACTCCCACGCCCCCCCCCCCCCCCCCCCCCCCCCCCCCCCCCCCCCCCCCCCCCCCCCCCCCCCCCCCCCCCCCCCCCCCCCCCCCCCCCCCCCCCCCCCCCCCCCCCCCCCCCCCCCCCCCCCCCCCCCCCCCCCCCCCCCCCCCCCCCCCCCCCCCCCCCGCTCCCCTCAGCCTCCTGCCTGCTCCCTGCCTCACTCACTCCCTGCATGCCCTCTTCCCCCCTCTTCCATCCCGCATCGAGTGTCCAAAATAATTATTAAAGGCATAAATCTGATCCCGCCTCTATTCTGCTTAGACCCTCCAGGGGCACCCTTCACACTAAGAACCTGGGGCCCTGCGCATCCGCTGCTGGGTAGGAACTTACCCTGGGGGTCCACCTCCTTGGCGACCTTGAGGGCATCGGAGTTGGCCAGGTCGGAGTTGGCAGGGGACACGGCCAGAATGAGGCAGTTCTCCTTGGTGACGAACTGCATGAGCATGTCCCGGATCTGGAACTCGATGTCGGGAGGTTGGTCCCCCACGGGAACCTTGGTCATTCCGGGCAAGTCCACCAGGGTCAGGTTCAGCACTGGACAGGGCGGCGAGAGGGCGGGCTCAAGGCTAGGGGCGTGGCCGCGGGCGGGCGGAGGTAAGGAACGGGGCCGGGCTTAGAGAGGATGAGCTCGGAGCGCGGTCGTGGCGGTCGGGGCTGGGGACAGCAGCGCTAAAGCTCCCGCCCACTGGAGGCGTGGCCAGAGGTGGGCGGAGTCCTGGCACGATGGCGCTGTGGGGGCGGAGTCTGCAGGAGGAGCGGCCTGTGCAAGGAGGCTCCACCAAAGGGGCGGGGCCCAGAGAGGTAATCCCGGGGGGCGTGGCTACGCGAGGGAGCCAAGAGGGTGGGGCGGGGCCGGGTCTCCTCACCGTGCGGGGAGTAGACTCGGAGGTTGATGGGCACCGGCGAGATGCCCTTGTTGGTGCCGGTGACCCGGTCGGTCTCGGCCTCGATCTCCAGGCGCACCTCCTCGAAGTCGGTGAATTTCTTCCCCTTGCAGTGCAGGAACTCAGCATATTCTGCCCCAGAAGCGTAGGCGTCACAGTCGGGAACCCCACCTGGGTCCCAGCTCCCACAGGTAATAGGCTTCCCCCCGCCACACACACACCAAACAGAACAACTCACGTCTCCGTTATGCATTTTTATCCCCACTGTGCAGATGGGGAATCGAGGCCCAAAGAGGGGAAGTCCTGCCCAAAGTCACACAGTGAGCCAGGTCAGCGACTAGGCTGGACCTCCCCTTGGGGATGGGGTGAGGGGCTGGAGAGACCAAGCCTTGCTGCTGGTGGAGGAGGACACATACCTGTGGTGGCATTGACTAGCTGCAGAACCAGGGGACGCCGGGTGACAATGCCAGATCCTCGTGGCAGGAAGTCCCTGCAATGAGTGGGAGTCAGAGAAGGGTCAAGATCTAAGGGGCTCCCAGGAGTACCTGTCCTATCACTGGGAGATCCAGACTTCTCCCCAAAGTGCTGGCCTCACTGCACCTTAGTCCAAAGGCTTCAGGTGAATAGGGGGAGATGGCAGCTCAGAAAGGTGGAAAAGGCCCTCTCCCAAATCCCCTGGGTCACAATTCATGCATCTGAGCTGCCAAGAAACTAGACCAACAACACCCGAGATCTCTCTTATATGTCTTGTGTTGGTTTTGAGCCAACAGGAAGTCCCTGCCCCAACCCAGCCACTGCTGTTCAGCCCAAGAGAAACTGAGGCATGCCCCACATGCCTGTGTCCAGTAGCCACAGAGTGGATCCCAGGAAACGGAGCTGTACCTCCTCCCCTCCTTTCCGCTGTGGGGAAGGGCAGCATCTCATTTCCCCTTCCTGAGGCCCCATCTGGCTGGGGTGAGGACAAGGCAGGGGGGTGGAGGGGCGGAGGCAAGGAAAAGAATTCATGCTTCTTAAGTGCCTACCATATGCCAGGTGCTTTGCGGGAGTCTCATGGACTCCATAGAGTAGCCCCATAAGGTAGGTGCTATTATTATCCCCATTTTACAGATGAGGAAACCGAGGCTTGGAGATGTTCAGGTTGCACAGCCAGTATCTAGCAGAGCAGACCATAGATTCAGATCTGTTCTGAGTTTCTCTGCAGTGAAAACTCCCTGCCCTTCAGACCCGTGTGAACCCAGCTCCCTTTGAAGGACTAGTCAGAGGGGTTACAAAGTCATCTCCTGTCCCCAGACCTAACAGTCAATACCTCAGACATCTGCTTGTGCTGATGTCAACCTCAGCTGTCCTTTTGGCTGACTCTTGAGGGTGCCAGTTCTCTCTGTCCTGTCAGCTCTTCTCATCTCCCCATCCGTCTCTGGTCCCACCCCCAGGCTGGCACAAGCATGAGGGTGGGGGCCTCTCCAGGGATCAGGCTGCCAGACTTGGCAGTCATGGGATCCCCAGGACCTAGGACCCAGGAAAGGGTGGAGTAGGCCAGAGCCCAAGAGACCATAGAGATCTGGCCAGCCACCTCATTCATGGAGAGGCACATGGAGGCCCGGGGAGGGGAAAAGACACACTCAGGCTCGTATGGGGTTCAGAGCCAGAGGCAAAACCCAAGTCTCCTGCCCCCAGCCCAGAGCCTGAGTCGCACTCAAAAGGCTTCCTGCACCCCAGGGTCCTGGGGACAACAGACTAGTCCCAGGGCTCTCAGGTTCAAGGTCTTCTCTTGGGGCCCTCACCCTGCCCCACCTCTGGGGAGAGCAGAGGCTGTTGGGGAGGAGTCAGCCACTGTAATGGGGAAGGAGAAGAATGGTAAATCCTGCATTTATTAACCATTTCCAGGTGCCAGGCAAGTGCTTTTCATTCTTGCCAGACCATGAACTTCAGGAGGTCAGGGCCAGCATCTTTCTGTCCACCACTGTATCCCAGCACCTAGCACAGGGTTTGGCACACAAGAGGTGCCCAGTAAATTCTTTTTTTTTTTTTTAGAAGATGACCGGTGAGGGGATCTCAACCCTTGGCTTGGTGTTGTCAGCACCACGCTCAGCCATTGAGCAAACCGGCCATCCCTATATAGGATCCGAACCTGTGGCCTTGGTGTTATCAGCACCGCACTCTCCCGAGTGAGCCACAGGCCAGCCCAATGCCCAGTAAATTCTTTTTTTTTTTAGAAGATGACCGGGGAGGGGATCTCAACCCTTGGCTTGGGGTTGTCAGCACCACGCTCAGCCATTGAGCAAACCGGCCATCCCTATATAGGATCCGAACCTGTGGCCTTGGTGTTATCAGCACCGCACTCTCCCGAGTGAGCCACAGGCCAGCCCAATGCCCAGTAAATTCTGATTGAATCCCCAAGTCCTCCAAACAATGATCTAATATGGAAACTATCATTGTACAGATGAAGCAACTGAGGTTCAGAGAGGTGAATTATCTCACCCAAGGTCACACAGCAGAGCTGGGATTCAAACCTCAGTGTCTGTTAGACCCCCAGCTTGGGAACTTCCCCATCCAATGGTGCTGCCACTAAACCCCCAGAGCCAGACTTGGCTTTTTATGTAATGCAATTCAGTTCTGCCTGTGCCAGGCCCTGTGCTGGGCCCTGGGGACGAAGGATAATGAGTCAGACAGTTCCCACCCCGAGGAGCTCACACTGTGGTGGGAGAGACAGACAAGTAAACAGATAATGCAATGCGACGTGGCGTGTGCTAGGACAGAGGCGTGCCAGGCAGCAGGGGGTGGGGTTCACTGGGGGCGGGGGGGTTTGCTGACTCTCTCTCTCCCATCCTTTACTCAATGATTCCTTTGGGGGGTGATCCCCCAGTTTTGGAGGTCTCCCAGGGCTGTGGAGATAGAACATCTGTTCTCACAGAGGCTGGGGTGGATGTGGGCCTGAGGTCCACCCTCTTCCCCATCAACTCCTCACCCAGCAATACCATGGCAACAGTTGCCATGGAAACTGCAGGAGGGGCTGGGAAGGATGAGACTCTTCACAGAAAGCCCCCCAGGCAGAGACCTGGACTTTCCCTGGAGTTCTTCCCTGAGAGGTCTCCTCCTGAGCAGATGGGCCCACCCAGCTCTGGTGGGCCTGAGGGGTGAGGCCTGTAAGGCTCCACATTGAGGATGCAGGGAGCCCAGGGCGCAGCTATGAAGGGTAGGTGGTCGGGGGCCCGGGCTAGCCTGCTCCAAGTCACTGCCTCCCCAGGACTGCTTAAAAGACTAGAGCTTTGGGGCCGGCCCGTGGCTCACTCGGTAGAGTGCGTTGCTGATAACACCAAGGCCATGGGTTCGGATCCCATATAGGGATGGCCGGTTCGCTCACTGGGTGAGCGTGGTGCTGACAACACCAAGTCAAGGGTTAAGATCCCCTTACCGGTCATCTTTAAAAAAAAAAAAAAAAAAAAAGGACTAGAGCTTAGAGGGTAGGGCCATGTCTGGGGGTAGATTCCCTCCTCAGACCAAGATCTCCTGCCTGGGGTGCCCAGGTGGGGAGGTGCCCCATCTGTGCCTTGGCCGAGCTCTCAAAGTGAGGCCCTTGCACAGCCTGCATCAGAATTCTGGGCAGCTTTTTTTTTAAAAAAAGATGACCGGTAAGGGGATCTTAACCCTTGGCTTGGTGTTGTCAGCACAACGCTCAGCCAGTGAGCGAACCGGCCATCCCTATATGGGATCCGAACCCGGGGCCTTGGTGTTATCAGCACCACACTCTCCCGAGTGAGCCACAGGCCGGCCCTGGGCAGCTTTTTAAAATGCACATTCCTCGGACATACTGGGTTAGAATCTCAAGGGAGGAAAAAGGCAGAATCTGGATTTCCTACTTAATCTCTATGTAATTTTCATGTTCCCTTTCAAGTTTAAGGATCACTGGCTTAGGGGCCGACCCATGGCTCACTTGAGAGAGTGTGGTGCTGACAACACCAAGTCAAGGGTTAAGATCCCCTTACTGGTCATCTTTTAAACAAACAAACAAACGAAAAAGGATCACTGGCTTAGGGGCCGACCCATGGCTCACTTGAGAGAGTGTGGTGCTGACAACACCAAGTCAAGGGTTAAGATCCCCTTACTGGTCATCTTTTAAACAAACAAACAAACGAAAAAGGATCACTGGCTTAGAAGTTAGGAACCAGTGCCAACAGAGGCCCTGGGTTTGAATCCTGCATCAGCCCTTCCCCAGCCTGGTGCCCTTAGACAAGTTGCTTCACTCTCTGGCCCATGAAATGTTAGATGGAAATCGAGGAGGAGAAGCTTTCAGCAACCATCTCATTCCCTGTCATTGTCCAGAGGGTGGGACCAAGGCCCAGAGAACTCAGGGAGCTGTGAGGCCACACAGCAGTAGGAGAGGTGGCCAAGATGGAACCAGGACACAAACGACCTGCTTTCCAGCCCCAAACCTGGACAGACAGTGGAGACTGGACCTGGATTAGCAGGTCCCCATGTCCAGACACTTAGCTGCTTGCTCACTGCTGGGTTCCCACACCCAGCATGGCCTGGCACATAGTAGGTGCTCAGACAATGCTCGAGGGAAAGAGCACAGCTCAGCAGCTCCACAGTCCTTTCCTCTCACCTGGACACGCCATCCCACCTTAGTGCTCTGTTAAAGGGCCCCTGGGTGCCCTCCCCAGTGAAGATTTGGGCTGAATCCAGCGTCCACCCAGTGCCGCCCCTGCATCTCCCACCCAGCTCCCAGTTAGGCCGAGGGAGGACAGAACAGGTGCCCAGAGGAAAGTGTGCCGGGCCCACCCACTTCAGTGGCCATGCATGCGCCCATGTTGGGGGCGGATGGTGGCATGCCAGTTCTCCCACTCGTTTTGAGCAGATGGTGGTTTCCCAGGGAGGCCTTGCCTGGCCATCTGCAGAGGTACCTTCAAGCCTGAAGCACGGGGAAGACAAAATAAACACCTCTTGGGACCTCCAAACGCCACACGCTTCCTGTCTGAATTGGCAATGACATCCCCAGAGTGCTCTGGAGAAACTGTGTCAAAGGGCTGAAGTGACCCCCACCCTTACTCTATCTAGGACCTGAGATTTGGGGCCAGAGCTCAGAGACCTGGTTCCCAAGCCCCGCTGAATGCAAATGAAGCCAGGAAGTGGGATTTGGTGTGTACTCAGTGGTGGCCTCCTGTTTCTTGGGCTCTGATGTCACCCAGGCCCAGTGTTGAATGTCAGAGCTGCCACTTAGGAGCTGTGTGGCTGCAGACAAATGACCATACCTCTCTGAGCCTCGGTTTCCATATCAGAAAAATGGGTTGCTGGGAGGCTTCTCTGAGTTAAAGCCTGAACAAATGGTAGCTATTATGATCATAAATAATGATAACTTATTGAACATGCTGAGAACACAGGCTGGGCTCCCACAACCATGTCACTGGACAATGCAGCAGGGAATTGGAAGGTGGGAGCTGGCTGGAAGAGTGAGGGGTGGGCCAGAATATTTCCAGCCAAATCTTGCCCC